ATTCATATAAATAAATATAAAAAATATAAGAAAATATATAAAAAATAAATAAAATAAAAAATTATTTTAAAATAGTAATTTTTAATTTTAAAAATAGGATAATTTATTTTTTAAATTTAAAAGATATTCTTAGTATTATAATGATGAGATACTTGTAATTAAATTATATTATTGATATATTTAAATATTAAAATTAATTAAAATAGAATCAAGACTCATATAACTTATTAAAAATAGTTATAATTTTTTTTTCATATTTTAAAATTCTATCTTTTTAGGTAATATAATCCAAAATTTTGATTGAAGATTGATAACATTTAGTTTGATGGTAAATTCTTAATGCCTTATTTCTTTACAACCAACCAAATATAATCAAAATTAAATTTTAGTTTAATTTTTTTTCAAGACATCACATAAATATAAAAAATTAAAATCATAATATCATGAAAAATTCCATGAATATTAAAAATCCTAGAATGCACAATAATTTAGTTTATCTACAAATTTTCTATTAAAAAAATACATTCAATTAGTACTTTTATTTTGTCTAAATAAATTAAAAATTCTTTTAATCAATATTGGTAAACATCTATTCATATCAAAATTCATAAATGGAAGTAAATAGAAGTAGTGTTCCTTTTTGTACGACAATTTTACAATCATAAGATCAATGTTCTATTAATACATATACAATACATTGTCAAATATTTAAATTTTTACTTACTTTTCTAATATGTATAATTATTATTTTCTTTGATATATATATATATATATATATATAGTTATATATAGTTATATATTGCTTTAAATTTCTATTTATATTTTTGAAAGTGTCATTAAATGTTATTTTATCTGAAAGAAAAAAAAATAATCAACACCACATTTGATAAATATTTAGTCAATTTACAATCAATATGTAAGACTTGATTTCTATAAATATTTATATACATATGTTATAGATTCAATCTTTCTAAGAATTATTTTTCGAAAGCTATTAATTGATTATTGATAATTTTTAAATATTTAAGATTAGTTTATTTTATTAACACTAAATAATTCTAAAAGAAATTTAGTGTAAATCTTTTAACTCAATAGTTTGATGCATAGATATAATGTAAGATTATATTTGAAATTTAGAAGCAATTTTTTTTTTATTTTTTATTCTTTACTTTTAAAAATACTATAGTCTTATTATGTCTAGTCAAGTTATTTTTACTAATGAAGAAAAACTATGTTAAGTTGCATAAATTTAGGTTTTAAAGAATTATTCTAAAATTCTTAAAAAATTATATATTTTCAATATGTTTTGATACTTTGAATGAGTTTAAATTCATATTGCATCCATTCTTTTGTATCCACAAAAATCTTTCAAAACAATACTTCAATTTGAATTGATTGTAATTAAATTTTAATGTATACATATATATATCTAATTGTATAGCTATATCTATTTTTTATTTATTAAACCATTTAAAAACTATATAGGTACTATTAATCTACATTAAAAGAAAAATTTTAATAAAATATATATATATATATATATATATATATATTTCTTAAAATTAAATAATATCTACACCTTCAACTTTTATCAAACATGGATATAAGTGTAACAAGTTTTAAATATTTTTTTTTAATTTAAATATAAAAAATTTCATAAGTTTTTTTTTTTTTTTTTTTTTTTTTAATAGAATTTAAATTCGAGTATGAGCTTGTTTGTACTGTTTGGCTCTCAGTAGGGGAGCTGATGCTGCTGCTGCCTTTTGTTTCTCCCACCTCTCTCTCTCTCTCTCTTTTCACTATGCTAAGATCAGGATTAGGATTTCGAGCTGAGAGCATCATTTGGCTGAGGAAGAGGATTTGATTCGAATGTAGTGGTGAATTGTAGTGGATTCATGTTGGATTTAGTGTGTAATGTCTACTACCCTTATGGACTAGCGAACTTGTGTACTTTGGCCTTAGTCTTGCGAAGCAGTTTGAACATGTTTTGGAGTGCATTTATTGATGATCCTGGATTGCACAAGTGGGTGTTTGTGTGGCTTGCATTTGGCTTCCAGGTGGTCCACGCTCCACCTGGTTTTAGAGACCAGATTATGGATTCTTCTCTCTTGTATCCACTGAGAAGTAGAATTTGATTGTTGGTTGCCTATTGCATTAGGTTGTGCAAGAGAATAGATGACGTTGGTGGAAATTTAAAAGAGCAGCTAGGAAATGTGGAGGAACAGTTAAGAGGAGTGGAAGAGGAGATGTGTGGATTAGAATAGCAAATATGAAGAATGGAAGAGCAAGTCCAAAAATGTTGTGACAATCAGAAGAAAATAGCAACTTCAACACGAGAAAGCTTAACTTCAAGATGAGAAAGCTCAATTTCGAGAGAAGGAAGCCCAACTCCTACAAGGGCGAGGTGACTTCTAGAAGTTGTTATTGAGTGCCGCATCTTCTCATCATCTTTGTCATTTCATGTTTTCGGGGATTGCTGGATTGTTGAGCAATAGTGTATGTCATGGTTATAGGAGCAGGGTTGGCGTAGGCTTGGATAGTCCACTTCATTGACCTATATTGTTTCTATAGTCAGTTATGTATTGTCAGAATAGGCGATATAGGTAATGATTTACCTTTATTATGGTTGTTTGGGGACTATTCTCCAGTAGAGTTTTCTTTTCACTCGGGTTGATCGTTTTGGGGTTTGGTAAGGTCACAGAGCTTGGACAAAATGCTCTTGCATACCCGGCCCTATCTGGCCTTATCTTGTATTTGGATATTGTGTTCCAATCATCAGGTTTTTGCAAGAGTCCTGACGGGGGCTCAATAATTGCAGGAGAGAGAGTGATCCTAATTATAGATGCGAATTTCTCGGCATTACAGCATCTCATTGTGAAAGGCTCAACCGTTCTATTAGCTAGCTGTACGAGTACATTGCTCTATAAGTTGTTTATGAACCCTTGATTATCTCAGTAATCTTCTCTCTTGGCTAGATCGGCTTGGAGCTCAGCCTTTATCTGCTTGGCCAAGCTTGCCTTTGCCAGCTCCCAGTAATCAAATAATATTTTTTTTGACAAACTTCTTTTCCAACAAGCTGCATTTTACTGCCTATTGAATCCTGGTTCTATGTTGAATCACTTAAAGATCTTATTTTTTCTTCTTTCTTGTATCCCTTCATCTTGCCAATGGGATTTTCTCTTACCATCTTGGTTCCGAACCATTTTTGGAAGAAATGGCAGCATGGAATGCACGGCAGGTCTTATTTTGCTTCGCTGTTGCTTTGGTTTGCAACTCTGAGGTAGGTTACGGCATCCTAACTGATGCTAGAGATTGATATCACTTCAAACGGGGTAATGCGGGATGCCTCAATATCAATTGGTTTTAAGGCGGGACGTGGGCACCCGCCCGTGCTTGCTGCGTTGTCATATTTGCTTGATATTGCTTGATATTTGCTTGATATTGCTTCTTAGGATAATATTTTATCTTAATTAAATATTTAATATTTTATTAATTAAATAATTAAATATTAAAATATAAAATATATTATTAGTAATTTTATTTCGTTTTATTTTTTTAATGTGCAACAAACAATGAGATTGGTAATTACATATGATGTATAGGAAAAAGGCAAAACAAGTTATTAAATAGTAAAGAATCATTAGTATATTATGTCATATAAATATATAAATTATCCATTAATAAAAAAAATATATCCATTAATATTTTATAATATCTTATTAAATTATGCCATCTTTTCAAAGCTTTTAGTTTTTGTAATAACTAGCTTATGTTTTTGCTTATAATGACATGGTTTGAATATTAGTTCGTAATTCTTTGATTCCTAAAAAGTAATTCCTAAAATTATCATATAATTAATTTTATTATTTTCTAAATATAGCTTTATATGTATTTTAATTTTTTTATTTAAGATTCTATAATTTTTGGTAGTAAAAAAATAATAAAATATTATATTTTCTTTTATTACCTAATTTTAGTAATATTCTAATTAATTTTATATTTAATTTTTTAAAATTTAAATTAAATAAAACCTTTTAAATCCTATATATAAACAAAACGGTAGTATCAAATTAGTATCAAATTTATATATTTCTACAATATTATTATATGATTGTTTTATTTTTTTTCTTTTTAAATTGTAATATTATATTGATTGGTTTTACACTATTCACTATTATCTATAAGAATATGTTAAGCTAGTAGGTGGCAGCAAGATCTTTACTTTAATGTATTTTAATTTTATTTATAGATAGCAACAATAAGAACAACAACAACCAGCCATGAAACATGTGTGAATGAAGATATTGTGCTATTAGGAGTTTTGGAATTAAATCCAAATATTAATATTGTATGTATGTATGTATGAATATATATATATATATATATATATATTAGAATGTGATAATTATGATGAATGTAGTTGGTTTTTATTGATTGTAGATCTAATAATGGAGAAATGAATCTATTTTTTATTTTTTATTTTTTATTTTTTTCCATTCATGATGGCTAAGATGGAAGGGTTAATTTAGTAAAAACTTGGATCTATTTAACATTCCTTCATATATATATATATATATATATATATATATACACACAAAATACTAGTTAATTTTTTTATTTTATTTTTTTCCTTAAACAAACTAACATGTATGTGACATTTGCAATTGAATAATAATGTCTTATTTCTAAAAACAAAAGAATTAGAAATAAAGTTTAAAATTTACTATTACTTTATTTATTTAAAAATCTTTAAAAAAATTAACAAAAATTCTAATATTCTTCAATATCTTACAACATCTACCATTTCACTAATACAAACATAATACTAGATGCTACTTTTAATATAATTTTGTGCATATAAAAACACAATCTGCATAAAATAAGAAGTTCCATCCACATTCATCACCTTTGTAGCAATAACACAAGTAATCCTTTTGCGCAATTGACAGATTTGTTAAAGTCAAAAATGTAAAAGTTATCCACTTTATTTAACAATGATGTTAAGCTACATCACCAAGATATATGAAGTGTAGTCAAAGACATAACATTTTTTAGTTTATAAGATTATAATATCAAGTTTAAACACTAGGATATATCAAGTGTAGTCAAAGATGTAGGATTTTTTAATTCACTTAGCGATGGTATTTGATTTAAACACCAACACATTTTAAGTATAGTCAAAGATGTAAGATTGCCAAATTCATTTGGCAATAAAGTCAAGCTTGAGCACTTAGATATATTAAGTGTAGTCAAAGATATAAGATTGCCAAGTTCATTTGGTAAGGATGGCAAGCTTGAACAACCAGATATATCAAGTATAGTCAAAGATATAAGTTTACCAAGTTCATTTGGCAATGATGTCAAGCTTGAGCACTTAGATATATTAAGTGTAGTCAAAGATGTAAGGTTGCCAAGTTCATTTGGTAATGATGTCAAGCTTGAACAATCAGATATATCAAGTATAGTCAAAGATATAAGATTACCAATTTCATTTGGCAATGATGTCAAGCTTAAGCACTTGGATATATTAAGTGTAGTCAAAGATGTAAGGTTGCCAAGTTCATTTGGTAATGATGTCAAGCTTGAGCACCAATATATTTTAAGTGTAGTCAAAGATATAAGGTTGCCAAGTTCATTTGGCAATGATGTCAAGCTTGAGCATCTAGATATATTAAATATAGTCAAAAGTGTAAAGTTGCCTAATTCATTTGGCAATGTTGTCAAGCTTGAACATTCATGTATATCAAGTATAGTCAAAGACATAAGATTTCTAAGTTCATTTGGCAATGATATCAAGCCTAAGCATTGAGATATATTAAGTGTAGTCAAAGATGTAAGGTTGCTTAGTTCATTTGGCAATGATATCAAGCTTGTACACCAAGATATTTTAAGTACAGTCAAAGATATAAGGTTACCTACTTCATTTGGCAATGATGTCAAGCTTGAGCTCCGAGAAATATTAAGTGTAGTCAAAGATGTAACGTTGCCTAGTTCATTTGGCAATGATATCAAGCTTGCACACCAAGATATTTTAAGTACAGTCAAAGATGTAAGGCTACCTATTTTATTTGATAATGATGTCAAGCATGAGCACCTAAATATATTTAGTGTAGTCAAAGATGTAAGGTTGCCAAGTTCATTTGGCAATGATGTCAAGCTTGGGCACCAAGATATTTGAAGTGTAATCAAAGATGTAAGGTTGAGAAGTTCATTTGGCAATGATACCAAGTTTGAGCAACTAGATATATTAAGTGTAGTTAAAGATGTAAGGTTGCCTAATTCATTTGACAATAATGTCCAATTTGAGCATTCAGATATATCAAGTGTAGTCAAAGATGTAAGGTTGCTTAGTTTATTTGGCAATGATATCAAGCCTAAGCACCTAGATATATTAAGTATAATCAAAGATGTAAGGTTACCTAATTCAATTGGCAATGATATCAAGCTTGAGCACCTAAATATATCAAGTATAGTCAAAGATATAAGGTTGCCTAATTCATTTGGCAATGATACCAAGTCTGAGCACCAGGATATATTAAGTGTGGTCAAAGATGTAAGATTGCCTAGTTCAATTGGTAATGATGCCAAGCTTGAGCACCTAGATATATCAAGTATAGTCAAAGATATAAGGTTACCTAGTTCATTTGGCAATGATATCAAGCTTGAGCACCAAGATATACCAAGAATAGTCAATGATGTAAGGTTGCCTAGTTCATTTGGCAATGATGCCAAGCTTGAACACCTAGATATATTAAGTGTAGTCAATAATATAAGGTTTCCAAGTTCATTTGGTAATGATGTTAAGCTTGAATATCCAGATATATCAAGTGTAGTTAAAGATGTAAAGTTTCCAAATTCATTTGGCAATGATATCAAGCTTGAGCACAAAGACATTTTAAGTATAGTCAAAAATGTAAGATTACCTAGTTCATTTGGCAATGATATCAACCTTGCACATTTAGATATATCAATTTTAGTCAAAGATGTAAGATTGCCTAGTTCACTTGGCAATGATGTCAAATTTAAGCACCAAGATATATTAATTGTAGTCAAAGATATAAGATTGCCTAATTCTTTTGGCAATGATGTCAAGCTTAAGCACCAAGATATATCAAGTGTAGTCAAAGATGTAATGTTACCTAGTTCATTTGGCAATGATACCAAGCTTGAATACTCAAATATTTTAAGTGTAGTCAATGATGTAAGACTATGTGATATAACAGGAATAATTGTCAACAATGGCTTTTCACTTAAATTAAGTGTAGTTAGAGATTTGAGATTTTTAAATACATATGACATTGTTTTGAAGCTTAAACACTCAAACTTATCAAGAGCACTAAAAGAAGTAAGGTTGTCTAATCTATTTGGCAATGATATTAATCTTAAGCACCAAAATAAATTAATTGTAGTCAATGATGTTAAGTTGTTCAATCCATCTGGCAATGATGTTAAATTTATGCATCCAGATAGATTCAATGTGAGCAAAGATGTAAGATTTGAAATATCTTCTGGCAATGACTTTAATTTAATACAAGAAGATATATCAAGTGCAGTCAAATAAATAAGTTTTCTTAATTTATTTGGCAATAATATCAAATTTAGGCATGAAGATATATCAAGTTTAGTCAAAGATGTAAGGTTGCCTAGTTCATTTGGCAATGATATCAAGCTTGAGCACCAAGATATATCAAGTTTAGTCAATGATATAAGATTGCTTAGTTCATTTGGCAATGATGTCAAACTTGAGCATGAAGATATATCAAGTTTAGTCAAAGATGTTAAGTTTCCTAGTTCATTTGGCAATGATGTCAAGTGGGAGCATTGAGATATATTAAGTGTAGTCAAAGATGTAAGGTTGCCTAATTCATTTGGCAATGATGTCAAGCTTGAGCACAAAGATATATCAAGTTCAATCAAAGATATAAGATTGCCTAGTTCATTTGGTAATAATATCAAGTGTAAGCATGAAGATATATCAAATTTAGTCAAAGATATAAGGTTGCCTAGTTCAATTGGCAGTAATGTCAGGCGTGAGCATTTAGATATATCAAGTTCAATCAAAGATGTAAGATTGCCTAGTTCATTTGGCAATGACGTCAAGCTTGAGCACAAAGATATATTAAGTGTAGTCAAAGATGTAAGGTTGCCAAGTTCATTTGGCAATGATGTCAAGCGTGAGCACGAAGATATATCAAGTTTAGTCAAAGATGTAAGATTGCCTAGTTCATTGGGTAATGATATCAAATATGAGCACGAAGATATATCAAATTTAGTCAAAGATATAAGGTTGCCTAATTCAATTGGCAGTAATGTCAAGCATGAGCATTTAGATATATCAAGTTCAATCAAAGATGTAAGATTACCTAGTTCATTTGGTAATGATGTCAAGCTTGAGCACGAAGATATATTAAGTATAGTCAAAGATGTAAGGTTGTCAAGTTCATTTGGCAATGATGTCAAGCTTGAGCACTTAGATATATCTAGTGTAGTCAAAGATATAAGATTGCCTAGTTCATTTGGCAATGATGTTAAGCTAAAACACTTACGTATATTCAATTGTTTTAAAGTAGTAATTCTTCCTAATGAATTTGGTAATACTTTCAATTTTGAACATCTTAGAATATTGAGGTTTGTTAATGATGACATAGTATGCATTTCATTTGGTAATGTGAGCAAGTTCATACATCCTTGTATGTCAAGGTCTAATAATGTAGTAATTTTGTAAATAGACTTTAAAAACTCTTTTGGAAAATCATAATTTTTTAATTGCAAGACTTTCAAACTTTTACAATTTGTCCAAATCTCTCTTTTATTTAGCATATTTTGTATTTTTTCTACTAAGTTTTTGTCTAATTGACTTAAATTTGAAATGTTCAATAAAAGATATTTTAATTTATAACATTTTTTTATCAATATAACTAAAGTGCTAAATGATTCATAAAAATCATTAGATGTTTTTACATCAATCTCATAATTCAAAATTCGAATAGAAGCAAAATAGTTACTTTCAACTTTGTTAAATTTATTCTTGTTTTGAAAGCTATAAAATAGTCCCTCCAATTATATAACAACACCATACAAACAAACAAATATTTTAGAATTACCATATTTTTAAAAAATTAGACATAAAAAAATATAAAACAAAAATATCATTACAACATAATAAATATATATAATATAATATTATTTAATTAATATTAAAAAATAGCATATTTTATCTTTTATTATTCACACATATACATATATATATATATATATATGTATTTTAGTTTATTAGTCTTATAAATATTATTTAAATGAGATCAATATTTGATACCTGATTTGATGATTTGTGAATTGGTTGTTTATTCATATTCCAAATTCGTGTACTTTTATATTTTGCTTCAACTTCAACAATCATACGACCCATATCTCGTAGTTGATCATGTATACTTAAAATCCCTTTATTATCTATCTTTACCAATGACTTTTGAATCAATGTATTTAATATACAATCCATATCTTCTTCCAATTCTTCTTCTTCTTTGTTTTTAGCCCATATTTGTAATGCTCTTTTTTTTTTCATGCCTTGTGGATATACATCATTACAAAAAAAACAACATATGTCCAAAAATATTTTTTTTTCAATATCTTTTAAATTATCAAAGCTTATTCTTAAGATGTTCCAAATCTTATAGTCGCTATCATTTTCATCTCCATCCAAATCTCTTCTTCTTTTTAACCTTTGTAAAGCTTGCTCCCAATATCTCAATCTTTTTTGTCCCCTCAAAAATGCACCCATTACTTTTAAACTTAAAGCCAAGCCATTACAAGCTTTTACAATTTTTGTGCCCACCTCAACAAATTCATTATCCAACTTTTCTTGGTGTCTCCATGAATAACTATTGAACAACTCTATACTTGAAACTTCATCAAGTTCTTCAATATTTATTTTGTAAATCATCATAGAATATTCTTCTATTGATTTCCAATCTCAAGTAGTTACAATTAATGTGCTACCATTACTAGTACTTATAACATCCATAGGTATAACTTCAATTTGACTTTGATCCTTCACATCATCAAGGACCAAAATGATCTTGTTTTTAATGAAGAATGATTTTAATATTTCTTGTGCTTCATTTAAATCTTTTGGTTTTTCTTCAAATTTGAATTGTTTTAATATGTTGCAAGAGATTGAATAGCTATCGCCATTATTTTGCGCAATTTCAACAAAACATGAAGCATCATACATGTGTTTTATATCAATAAATGTAGCCTTTGCTATTGTGGTCTTGCATATTCCACCCATGCCAACAAGGCATATTACCTTTATATTTTTGAAACATAGTTGTCTTATTTGGAGTAAATATTGTTTTCTACCTAATAAATTTTCTTTAGACATGTCAACCTGCATGTAAATAAAAATACAAAATTGAATGACTTCAAAATTTATATAGGTTCCATTCTAGTCAAATTTGAAGCAAACAATTAAATATTTTCTAACAATTAATTATCAATATGGCATATTTAATTTATATAAAAATTATATTAAAATAATCAAATCAAATCTATACTTGTTATGTATTTACAAGAGTATTTACAAGAGCCTTACTATTTGTAATCTATTATAGGGTTCTTTCCAATGTATATTTTGATTCATATTGTTCCAAGTTCCACCAAAAGACGATAGTTTATTTAAACATTGTCCAATTAGAATCTTCTTCTTTAATCTGATGAGTCTTTCACAAATAATTGCAAAGTTTGGGCGTTGTGAAGGATTCCAATTCCAACACTCTTGGATAAGCTTGTTCAATTCATCACAATTTGAAGGAAGCTATGGTCTTTTACCTTTTTGTATTCTTTCCAATATATCTCTTTTCAAGAAAACACCATCAAATGGATCTTTTTTTGAAAGAATCTTAGAACACACCATTGCAAATGAAAAAACATCTGCTTCATAAAGACACATCTTTGTGCTTTCAAATGTATTTCTTAATGCCTCTGGAGCCATGTATTGTATACTACCATAGGCATTATTATTTTCACTAACTTTTGGATGCCTTCCAACATTCACCTTAGACATGCCAAAATCTATCAATTTTATTGTAGTATGTTGAACAACATTATTTAATACTTTATCCTTTATAATATTGACTAATATATTTTCAGGCTTTAGATCTCGATGTGCAATTTGCATGTCATGCAAATAGCACATGCCTTTAGCAATTTGATAAATAATATCAAAACTAAATATAAATGACATTGATTTTTTTTCTTTTAACATATCACCTAAGCTTGTTTCCATCAATTCCATTCCCAAATATAATTCTTTATTTATATCATGTTCTTCATCTATTTGTCTATTTTCATTATTTTTGGGATTAATAGCAAAGAAATATTTGATTATGTTGGGATGGCTTAGACTAGCTAGAATGCTCACTTCTTTGATAAAAAATTTATTGTAAGCAACATTCAACTTTTTAGTTGCACTCAAAAGTCCCCACCACTTAGATTTAAAAACTATTCCAAAACTTCCTTTACCTAAGCATTACATGATTTGCAAAGGTTTCATATCCATTGAAAGTTCCATTATGTCCAATTCTCTACCTTCTATGTTGCATAAATCCTTCAATCTTTGCAATAAATAATTTGCTAATCCAAAGTGTTCAAAGTTATCATCTCCAATTGCATGATTCAACTTGTCACACAAGCTTTTTTCATCACCTTCCACTTCATCAAAGGTGGCAACATCAAAGATAGCAAATGAGAAACCTTCAAATTCTTTTGGATTTTGGTTCAAAAGTATTTCAATTACTACATCATAGCAACACTTTAAATCCATAAGCAATTCTCGAAAAGTCTCTTTATTATTCATTTGGAAGATAGCTACTTGGCACCAATTACTTTCTTCACAATTCTTTACCAATAAGCCAATTTTCTTCACTAAAAGAAATAACTCACAAAATATAAGTCCACACTCCAAATCTTTGTTGCTATGAGTTACTAGATGTCGAAATATATCCATAACAATAAAAAGTTTCTTGCAGATGCTTGTACATTGATTTCTATTCAATATATCTTTTTTCTTCAACATATTCTTCATCTCTCCAACATAAATTTCACATTGTCTCCAAATGTCTCTATTAATCTCTTGCCTCTTTGTAGAAGTGCCTATTACTTCAATATGACTATCATAATGATTCAAATTTTTAAAAAATAGACCCTTTTGAAAATCCTTCAAAAATCTCCAAACCATAAACAAACACTTCGTAAATAATTCCAAAAGGTTTGTCATATTGTAATAAACAATTATCTAAATGTGTCCCTACAACTACACAACCAACACAATATATTAGCTTTACTCCATGTATATATTATTCGCTATGATAAATTCTAATGAATACAACCATAATCTTCTTTTACAACATTTGCAATATTACAAGTTATTTACAATTAACATTCTGAACAATGAATTAAGACTTCAATCATAGTGTAGAACAATTGCATTTCTCAAAATACTCACCAAATAATCTTTAAAATCTCTACATTACTTGTTACATTATTTATCTCATGTAAAACCTCCAAAGTATTAAACCAATTAAATAACCACATAGCCAAATAATTGAAATGGATCCATAAACTTTGAGATTATAATTACAAAGGCAATACCTAATACAATAAAAAAAAGTTTAATATTAGCCAAAGACTTCCTAACATAATATTCCACAAACCAAAATCAAATTAAATAATCCACCTGTATAAATTCACTCAACAATAATCTAATGAACTCGTTTTTTTTCTACGTACAAGTTTTTTAATAATAATACTATTTCTTTTGAGCATTCTTAAATCCATCACGATCTTGGTTGAAAAACAACAAAACATCGTAATAAGAGAAAAAATAACAAATTAGATATGTAATCACATTATTAAGAAATTAAACATGTTGATAAATTATTATTAAAAAGGTTTTAAAATCTTATCTTTTAAGTAAAAACTTCTGCCATCATCCCAAAATTAAGAAATCAATTATAATACTACAAAACCTAATAAATGAAATGGAAAAATTACAATAACAACCCTAATATCTTATTACAACCACAAAAAATATATATATAACCAAAAACAACATTCCATTATAATATGCTATTTATCAAAATCAAATATTAATCGCCTTCAAAAAACCCATATAATATCAATACAACAAACTACTTTTCTCCACAAAAATTCTTTAAAAACAATATTCTTTCATCATCGATCATGTCAAATGCACCAATTTCTTATTGCAAAACTTCTTAGCATCCTCATAATCCTACAATCCCACAAACATTTGCAACGCATTAAAACTCTTCACAAATTTAGTACACTTAAGTCAATCCTAACTGTAGGAAGAAATAGATGACTGTAACTCCAGCACATAGAAGATCAGCACTCGGATGAAACACTTGTGTATGAATTTCAAGACCCCACACACGTAGCACAACCCCCCCCCCCACTCCACCACGCCAGGAGGAGATACGGACCGAAAGGAGCTTCTGATTTGCCGTGAACGCAGGGAATATTCTCCCAAGAGCCAAACTGACCCCAGGTAGAAGCAGCTGATTTCAGACATAAAAGAGTATGCCACCACCTTGCTCTTCACTTCTTCTTCCTCACACCCTCCCTGAGCAACCACTAACCTCCCCCTCTTACTATCCAATCTCCACTGACGAAATCAAATAAATTCAAATTTCTCCACGGAAAAGATCCTACCCGAAACCCTCGTATAACCTCCCAAATAAAACAACAAGCGTTCTCAGGAGCCGTCCTCGAAACAAAATACACGAAATCAACTCACAGAAACCGGAAAAACAGACCTCCCAAACCAAACCCGGAGGCTCCGAATCTCCACCACACTAGGACTCCAACAGCGTCAGATTCACCCTTAGATACCCAACCCGCGGCACGTCGACGACTCCACACCGATTCGCTCACCGAGCGGCTCAGGAAACGCACATGAGCACAGGAATGCTTGCGTCCGAAAGGGCGATACCACAGCAGCAGGATGCGGGCCGGCAACCAAAGCGAGGGGAAGAAAGATGGAGAGAAATGGCGGACGACGAGGGTTGAAGAAGCAGCAGTAGCCTGAAACGAAGCTCCACATGTTCCGGAAGACGTGTGGGGTTCCTTCCAGGATGGTGGCTGCCCGGCTCGATCTGCCCGCCCCTCTGCCTGCCCAAAACTTTCCCTGCTGCCCGTGCTGCCCCCGCACTGTGCCTCGGTATCCGTCCGCCGCGTCCGCCTCGGGTATCACGACGGGTAACTGTATAGTGTCCGGGTACGGGTATCTTCTTCCGGGTATTAAATTGTGGCGGGTGAACCGGTTTGTGTGTTCACACTGCTCGTTACTAGCCCGTTGCTTTTGTTGATTAAGGGGGGATTATATCTCCATGAGGGTTTACCATCAATGCTAAAACAATAATTTGAAACCATTACTTATATTTCTTAAAAAAAAATCTTATTTATACTCATATGACATGTTTGTTTTACATGAGTTTATATATGTTTGTATTTATACTTTTTATAACATGTTCGTTTAATTTATAGTTACAAAAAAACAAGAATTCATACATTTTGATTGCTAAGTTGATTCAGTTTTCATTTTATGAAGAAAATATTTTAAATGAAATGATTTTCAAAACTTCTGAAGTATTATTGTATTTAAAATAAAAGGATCAATACATGCTACAGTGTCTTACTTATAGTATTAAGTAAAATTGATGAGAGAAAGGTGTAAAAACCACATATTATTGGTTTGCATTCAACACTGCAGATGATTTTCTTATTATCATTATTATTATTGTTTTGCACAATAACTAAAAAAATATCTGAAAATTTTACATAATGCTTTGTTTTGTGTACATTGTGCAAGGTAATTTTGTTTTGAAAGATATTGGGATATGAGATTTATTTGATTATTTGTGATACAAATACCTCTACAAGAATAAAAAAAAAAGTTGGTCATACAAATAATATCCATGTGTATAATTAATAAGAAGTAAGGATATATACATATATATATATATATATATATATATATACACACTTTGAAAATTTGAAATTTTAGTATAATTGAGAACAATTAGTATTATCTTTGATACTTCTTATGTGCTTGAATTCTATCTTTTTAATTATACAAATGATTTTCATTGCAAAATTTAAAGATAAAGTATTGTTATGTCCACTTGCATGAATGAATATATATATATATATATATAGTATTAATTAAATAATTTTATTTTAATATTAATTATTAGTATTACTTTTTTCTTTTTTATATTTTTATCTTCATATGTATACATAAAAATAATAGAAATAAAACCTTTCAAAGAAAAAATACTATATTTTATTTTATATTTTAAATATAGGAATTTACATATATATAGCTATCAATAGAATGCTGCAACCATGAAATAATAAAAGATGGTTGAAATATTTTAAATATATATAGTATTATAAAATTTTAAAATATTACCAATAATATTGATATAATTATAAAACCAACAACTACTATAAATAAGGTTTTTTATTTTAGATATTAGTTTTAATAAGTAATTATGTTATATTCATTTATTGATTTCTTCATTCTATTTCTAATTGAAGACTTTTTAAACATTATATTACAAGCTAGTAGTTCTAAAATATTGAACTTGAAAAATATTTCTTTAAAAAAGTACTCAAATTTTTAAAAAATATATTTTAATATTGAATAATTTGAAGGCAACTCAAATAAGAATTTTAGTTTGAGATAAATTTATCTTAGTTCTTATTAAGAGAATTAAATGTAGTTGGCGTTCTCTATAATATTTATTGTAGTTTATAGTAAATACTGTAGCTACAATGTTTGAAATGTATAGGAGAGAAATTGTTTATCTTCTCTTCTTCTCTTTATATATATGAGACAACCATATCAATAGACTCTAGTTACTTGTATGTGTACTTATATATGTGTGCATATTACTTCAACCACTCTTGTATTTCTCTAAAAGATTCTCAATATATTATTAGCACAATTGCTCTTGTGCATTAGTCTTAGTTCTTAAAAATTTGTATATACCTTGTCCTTCTACTTCTCCTCATTTTTTTCAACTTTGTTGTTACTCAATCCTACTATTACTAAATCCTACTACTACTCTTGAATCATGTTGCTGCAAAATCTTATTGTTCCTGAATCTTATTGTTATTGTGTCTTACCAAACTGCCACACCATGTTGTCAAACTACCATATTCTGTCACCAATAGTCATACCTTGCCCCCAAAATCATATATCCTGCCGCTGAGCTACCACACCTTGCCATTGTTTACTATTGGTGCTACAATTTGCCACAAATCCTTGTTTTGGAAAAAAAAAAAAAAAAAAAAAAAAAAAAATCCCAAATTTTTAATATTTTTTATTTCAAGTTCAACTTTATCATTTTATTTGGTTTTACATTTCAAGGTGCATTTTACTCAATCTTTTCTATTTGATCTTGTATTTTTTTTTTAGAAATTTATTTATAATAATTGCTTCAATATCCTCAACTGCTTCTATTATGTTTTCAACTATCACTACTATATCCCAACATTTTCAAGCTCTTTTATTTCCACCATTGGTTGCTGATAGAAATAATAATTTATTATGGTTAAAATGGCAAAAAAAATTATTTACATAACAACTCTTATATATAATTTTGTTTGAAGAATCTCTTAGTGTAAGTACTTCTATTCTTCTTACTATCTATTAGAAAGTACTTCTTTTCTTTTGTAGTCATCTTGTACCTGCATTGCAATATCTATATTTGAAAATGAAAGATTCAATCAAGCTTTGGGAGAATCTTAAATCCAAATTTGATCATTAAAAGACTATTTTCTTTTTGTATGCACGTCATGATTGGACATATTTATGTATTATGGATTTTTTAAATTTAAATGCTTTCAATAGTAAAATATATTGTATTGTCTCATAACTACAATTGTATAGATAAAGCATCTCTGAAGAAGAAATGATTGAAAAAACTCTCTCTACATTTCTTCCTCTATTTGCTAAACTTGCACAACAATATAGAAACATGAAATTTCAAAGTCATCCTAATTTCATGTCTTATCTACTTCTTATGGAGAAACAAAATGATCTATTCTTATGTAATACAAAAGCTTGTCCTATTGGAACTATGGTTCTAGAATTTCATTCATTTAATATTTCAAACTCTAAGAAAAAATTATACAAACATAGAAAAAGTGCTCATAAATACCATGGTAGTCATGATCATGACCATTTTCGTCTATATGAAAAGAATTAATATTCTACTATGAAAAAATAACTTTTTGCATAAGTCTTCAAATCTCATAGATAGTAGCATTTTTTTTTCTATCAAATAACATATATTAAACGAATTTTATGGAAATTATATATGATTGATGCTTATTCATTGTCAACACCAATGATTGGATGTAGTCGCAATGGTGATAATTCATACCGTCCATGCAAGGAAGAGAAAGAAATATTGGGAGATCAATATCCATACCTTGCAACAATTGAACCGTTTTTATATTTAATCACATCTATAAGACCAGATATTATATTTGTAGTTAATGTTCCTGCAAGACATAGTATACGTCCAAGACTATGACATTGAAATAATATCAAATATTTATTATATTATTTAAAAAATATTGAAGATTTGGAATTATATTACATATGATCTACAAATCCAAAATTGGTTGGATATTGTGATATAGGATATAAATGTGATATTGCAATAGCTAAATTTCAAATAAGCTATATATTCTGAAGACATGGAGTTGCAATATCATAGAGATTAGTAAAACAAGCTATAACTATAACTTCATTTAACTGTGCAAAAATTATTGCCTTGTATGAAGCATCTCAAGAGTATATTTGGTTACGATAAAAAAAAAATGATGTTGTATTCTTTCTTTCTTTTTTATGCATGATTTTTTCTTTGAATACAATAAGATTTTTTTAGATAAAGTTTTAATGAGGTAGCAGCTATTGATTATAGAAAAATATAAATCATAATTCTATAAAAAATTTATATTATATAAATACTGTGACAAACGAAGAGGAGTGTTGAAAGTATTAAATGTAATCAATACTCTCCATAATATTTATTATAGTTTATAATAAATACTGTAGCTACAATGTTTGAAATGTAGTGGAAAGAAACTATTTATTTTCTTCCCTTTTCTTTGTATACATAAGACAACCACATCAATAGTCTCTAGTTGCTTGTGTGTGTGTATGCTTGTATGTGTGCATATTACTGTAACCACTCTTGTGTCTCTCTAAAACATTCTCAACAATTCTAAAGCTCTTAAAGCTAAGAAATATATATGATGCTGCTTGACTTGGTCTTAGGTTGATCTTTGTTAAAATCTTAACACTTATTTATAATCTTTTGTTAAAGTCTTATCCAAAAGCTCATAATTAATTATAAGATAAATTTATGGATCTTTTTTTTTTTATTTAAATGTTTTATACACCTAACAAATGTTCTAATTGAATTTTATATACTACCAATCATATAAAAACTCATACTTTTTAAAAATTCTACATGTAATTTTTAATTTTTTTAATCACTTAAAATTATAAATAATTCACTCGTTTAAATTTCTATTTCTGTATATTTCGAATCTACATGTAAATACACACTTTTATAGTTTATCATTTACTATTTAATTTAAAATATGTATATTATTATAATAAAAAAACATAGTATATCTAGCAAGTAATCTTCTTTGTAATGGCCATAAATAAAATTGGCTATAAATATTTATATTTTTAGCCTCTACTCAGAGTATTACCTCAAAGATTCTACAAACAAACTAAAAGCTTTTCTCTTAGAAAATATATCAAAAGTTGTAGTATTGATGTCTTAATCAATTAAATATCATCTACCAAATTTACATATTATTTCAAGGGAAAAATTCAATTGTACCCCTGAAATATGATTGATGCACCAACGGGAGAAAAAAATATCTTCCGTCTTTGATGCGGAAGCTGACAGGTGTCAATACGCGTGAGTTCACAAACACAAGGTTTTTACTGTAAAATCATGACTTAAAACATATAATCTCTGCAGGCATGTTAAGCGCTTCGATTCATGGTTTTACTGCACAGGAGCTTCTAAGTCAGCTTGATACTTTGACAAGTTTTTAAAGCCTCAGAAGGATTTGAACAAAACTACACGTGCAATCTTACTTGACCTACTGCGTTCTCTCTGACATGCACATATGATAAGTTTGTGGGAACTGTCACAACAGTTGCTGAACGAAACGATGATGCTACAATTCACATTGCTGTACTCTCTCTCGTTTGGGCATGAAGACGCCAATGCTTTCAGGTGATGGAAAGGAGGGTGCTGAAGATGTAGCTAGAAAATTAGGAACCGATCATCAACAGGTGCATCACCCTATGCGCTTACTTTTGTATTCAGGTCATGGTTAAGGCTGTTTGCTGACCCTTTGTTTCGCCAGATTCTTTAAGTAATGTAAAATTAAGCTTTAGTTTATGTGTCCCGGTCCGATCTCATGGCCATTTGACTCCTCTTCTGCACAATTCGAGCTACCAATTTGTAAAATGCATATGCATATACAAACCCAGTGATTAAACTAGTCGTCATTGTAAGCGTTAAATAATACACATAAACTAAAGCTTAATTTTACATTACTTATTTCATTCAATCCTCAACCTGTACTGACTTCGTGAAACTCCAAATGATTCCAAGTCATCGAAAACTCCTCATGTAAACAATACAATCATCATGCATTATTGTGTAAAATCCAGTGATTAGTACAAATTCAACATGAATCACGAAGTCAGTGCTCATGCATTCATTCAAGCTGACAATAAAGTTCCCCTGTGACAACCAGATCCCACTCAGAGTTATGGTGTAGAAGAAGCCTCAGCACGTAACAGACCATGGAAAGTCGATTGCCATGTGTGCTTTAAATATATGCGGTAGCCTTGTCTGCCTCGGCAGGGGTCGGACTCACCACACCTGAGTCATTTAATCATCCTCGAAATAGACAAATCCGAGGCAGCACTATAATGGCAACAAAGCGCATTTTGTCTAGCCAGGAATACCGTTGTTAGATACTCTACAACCCAGCTTGCCATTTCGAGGAGGGCGGTTGTGCAAGGCAAAGCCAAGCCAAGCACACACCTTGAATTCGGAAGAAGCCAAAGTGAAGAAGGCACAACCTGCACAGACTAAGTAACGCACTTCAAGAGTGAGAGAATTTTAATTAATGCCACAAGCCTCGTCAACAATTTGGGGGCTCATGTTGACATTTCCGTCTCAGTTTCCAAGACACACTCAAACCAGTTGCAACGATCTGAGGTTGGCTTGCACTTTTTCCCCCTTAAGTTTAGGTGGGTTCTCTTCACAACACCCAGTCATTGTAAGTTTTTTGCCTTAGTTTAGCATAACTGCTGGCTGCATAGCCTAAATTTATCGAAGAAAAGTTTGATTTGAAGAGTTAAAATTGGAAAGATTTTAAGATTTTGTTTTGGAGACAAGTGAAAGATTTGTTTTGCTACAAATAAGTATGTGATTTGATGTCTCACTTTCTTGACCACATGAACAATGTTCAATAGCAATGGTTGTATTAAAATTCAATTTTTAACCCACAGTGTTGTCAACTCATGTCCACTCAACCAAGGCATTAGGATCTGTAACTCATAGGTGACTATTTCTTTGTGTCACCAAGGTCGCTTTTTTTTCTTTATTAAGTCTCCTTCTTTGGTGAAATAGTAAATATAGATGAAAATCTATAAATATTTTATATTCATGCAGCTATAAAACAACACACAAATATATGTATGTGTAAACATATTTATTTATATTAAATTGATATTTAAAATTTTGGTAAATAATTAGAGTTTTCTACATGTTAGGCCCATTGTAAACAAATACAACTTGGGTTATTTTAATGTTTCAAATATTTTACTGAGGGTAATATAAGTATAATGTTATTGGGTCATATTATATTATTTATTAAAAAAATGCTGTGTGAATGACCTGATTTTGACAATAATTGACATGTTTTAAATTCACAATTAATTTTCTTAAAATAAAAAATTTTCATTTTTTTTCATGTTTATCATATTTATGTTAGAAAAAATTATACAACAAGAAATCATTGGTCTTTAGCAAAGAGCACCTTTTCAAATGTACAAAATAAACATTGACTCTAAGTGCATTCTTGTCATATTTTTTAAGCGAATTAAGGTATTTGTCTTTTTAATAATAAATTCTTATTTTTAATTAATAAATTATTGAAGAAAAAAACTAATAAGCAACAAAAAAAGAATTTTTTTATATGTTTTTCTTTAAGTCATATACTCGAATGTTTAACTTCAAATGTTTTGATTATTTATTTATTTTACACATGTTTTAAAATTTACTTTGGTATTGGTGTATTGCATTTTTCGTGGATCTATTTAATGTAATTGTGTATAAAAATAAATTTGTATATATATATATATATATATAAACTGTTTTGTCTTGAATAAGTAAATGATTCTATAGAAATACTGTTGTTGTAACCTATGTACATGCAAGTTTTCTATTTAGTTTCCCAGGTCCACTTGAAAAATCTGGTGATTTATTCTTCCTGCAAAGTAAATTAAAATGAAAAAAAATCGAACCAGATAGAATCAGCTATTCTTATGGCATATTTCTCTCACTGCATCATTTCCAACAACCAAGTGAATAGAAACCTTATCTGGACCCGTCATTAAATTTGCTTTAACCTTGATTCTTCATGCACAATTGAGTCATGAGTCTGTCTTAAAAACGCATTAAATGCATCCTCCAGCAATTGAGTCTCTTGAGAGATATGGATGATTCTTTTCCTACCTTCTTGCTCAGCTACGCAAAGTGGCAATCGAAGCTCAAGCGTGGTGAAATGGGGACCTGGAGGAGACAAAAGCTCTTAATGACATATCAGAACAGAAGCTAGAATTGTGGACTTTAACGGCATATTCCTCCGATTGTATTGCTACCTGCAAGCTTACTGGTCTCCAGGTCTGCAGCTCAAGGTCTACCACAGTTGAGAAGTTTCCCACAATCGATTAGCTACGAAAGACGGGAGTGTAGGGTTGTAACTGGAAACAGACGGTGCTATAACACTGCTCATCACTGTCGCTGCTTGGACCAAGTGTGTGTTCCTTGCATCGTTGCATCCACGGTTTGAGAATTACGGACAAAAAAGTGGCAGACTCTCGAAACATGTCTGAAATGTCTTTTCATTGTTTACAAGTGTGACTCCCGAGTACTATTTAGTATATACACTAGTAAAATCACAACAGCTTCAGTTGTAGCTCTTCCTAAACTCATATGTACACTAGAGAAAGCCGTGAAGAGCGTCAACAATTCCAGACACAGGAGCTCTGAGGTTCACGCTCCTGAAAGTGCACCCTGTTTAGAGAACTTCAATAGCTGATTCTAGCGTGGCGAGTTCATCCCCGGAAATTGGTAGTTCATTTGGTCCTCGTATCAAATCCGGAAAGAACTCATGTCCACATGGTCCCCGTGATTGGTATACTTATCTTTACAAAAATACTCGTCACCGTTGATAGCAGACATTGAGGATTCTGCAGTGTCACAATGAGAGAATTCCCAATTTCCAACCGTGAAGCAATCGCCACAGTCATTGTCCTGGAAGTTCCGGCAGTCACTTGACGTCCTCATCGCCAGTTCGTGCGTCACGTCAATCATCTCACCCTCCATGTCATTCGCCACCATCTCAGGATCAGCGTAGTATTGCCAAACAGCTGGAAGTTCACACAAATTACCCCAGCTTTCTGAGGGTTCGTATGTGACTCCATTCCATGTGTCGAGATGGGTCACGCTGGGCTGGTTTAAATTGCTGCAAGGCCAATCTGCTTGCTGGTCGTTGGTGTGCATCGCAAAACTAACAGTGGATGGGAAAATGCTCTGCAATTTATCGTTGTTTTGATTGAAGATGGGGCTGTTGCAAAACATCTCAGCTCCAGAGCATGGCTCCAGAGCCTCGACTGGTATGGAGAGGAGCCGTGCAGAATCTAGTGAAGTCGCAGTGTCCACAAAGGACGACACAGGTAAGGTGGTGGAGTCTTCAGAGTGAGAGACCTCAGTGGTTAAAAAACAATTACTGGAGTCAACGAGGCTCCTGTGTACAGAATTCGAACCAACTGCGGGGAGCTCCTTATCAACGTTGACATACTTGAAGACTACTTGGGAAAGAGTACCCGCCAAATGTTCGTAAAACTTTGATGAGCAGGAGGCTCGCGAGGACTGCGCATTGTCACTGCTACGAAGTGGGTCATCATTCCTGGTTAAAGTAGAACCATTAGATACCGTTACCTGGTAGTGTGAAGTTGGTTGGTCGCCGAGACAATTGCCCTGCAGGTACAAATAACAGAAACTAATCAGGACTTCGTGTGAAAGTCAAAGATCATTCAAAACCATGCGCCAAACCAGTCCACGACCTAGATTTCTGATTTTTTTTCCTCCAAGAATTGCATCGATGACAGTTACGATGCAGCCACCACAACTACCACATTCTGCATTTCAAGACGTAAAAAGGGACTAGACCTTGCGATAAACTAAAGTTTAAGAACGATCCAATCAGCTTGAGAAACCAGGAAAATACCTCAAGAGATGATACTTCAACTGTAACACATCCGCGTCCTCCGCGCATCACAGAGCTTTCAACAATACTTTGCTCCAAACCGTGACAGCGGTTAAATTCTTGAACGTCATGTACAGCCCACTGCTCTCGAGTTTCAGAACTTTTTGAGTCATCTATCGTCTCTCTGTTTGCAGACTTTCTCAGAAAGTCATCATTTTTATGTGGTGAATTCCTCGGTCGAGGATCACTGATGGCGCTCGCCAGCCTCTCCACTGTTTCGTACATGTGCCTGTACGCCGGTTCACTGTGAGGGTCTGGCATTGTATCCATTAGCCCAACTCTGAAATTGCTGCGGCCAGGGACACCAACACTCTCATCATTCCCACCAGGCATCAAAGCCATACTCCAGTCCATTTTCCGACCATGTTTACCACTGCTCGTGCCTCCGAAGAAACCATCCCCATTCGACTGCCCAGAGGCTCTGGACGCGGCCAGGGCGGCCGACATCAAACACGTCTGGTGCGTTGGATACACAAAGTTGGTTCTTGCCTTGAGACCCCTCATGGACCTGGCGGCCAAGTCGTAAGCCACTGCAGCTTGCTCTGCCGTGTCAAACGTTCCGAGCCATCTCCTCTCCCTTGTATGAGGATCTCTGATCTCTGCAGCGTATCGACCCCAAGGCCTTCTCCTCACTCCCCGGTACTTCCCCTCTTGCGCCATCTTCGCCTTCTTAGACCCACTCTTCCTGTCCACTGCTCGGGCAGCCATTTCACCCATTCTTACAGTAACAGATGCCACAAAATTCTTCGCAACCACGTGGAACTTCAACGCCGCAGAACTCAGCGCTGCAGTGTGTCAAACATTCACAACCTCGATGTGTCAAGCTAGTTATGAAGCCAAGAAGGTACAGTCGCATCACCAGAGACTTAACATCCTCAATTCCTACACCTCAAAACCACGAACCTGAACTCAGTGATAGTCGATCAATACTTCTAGAGCTAGACTCTATTCGACCTTGACCACAAGCTTCAACTTGCACCAAGCGACTGCAACCCAAGCGTAATCTACCTCTACTATAACCCCGCCCCAATTCCTATCAGTGAAGCGAAGCACATCTTTGAAGTAATCGCTTCGAAGTTGAAGAGAAAAAGGGACTTTCTGAGCTGAGCCGCTTCGAGCAGAGCAACAAGCATCCACGTGCATGCAAAAGATGGCAGTTCAGTGTAGGACCAATTTGATAATCGAAAGGAGAAGACCAAAACTCAGGTCTCTGAAGAAGAATAATAGCAGCAGGGAGAGAGAGCTTGGAAGAGACAGTTCTGAGCAAGGGAGGTGGGAATCAGTTCTTCAGTTTAACGATGGCCGTTAAATGGGTTGCCAGCGGCCCTGCAAGAGAATATTGTCGGAATAGTGTTAAGGACCCAGATCCTCACCTCTTTACACTGCATCCAGAATACTTCAGCGTTTTCATCTCACACAAATCGAGGAACCTCGGTTGCGAATGAAGTAAAAAAAATAAAATAAAATAAAAAAGAATAAAAACACACACACACACACCACTGTACCCACTGAAGTTTCACTCGTGTTCTGTCTGCAATAGCCCTGATGTTCTTATCCTCCACATAAATAACTTACTGCTGTTATTGAATGTCGATGCTCTCTGGGTTTGCAAAAATCCTCTGCGTAAAACTTTACTCTGATGCTAAAAGCAACTCTACTGGGATATGTGTAATCCACTGTGTAGCTTAATCTGTTGTTAACACACTCTGACTGGTTTCATCTTTTAGTGTGTATAATAACTCTGAAGAAGCACGGAATCTTCAAATATGGATTATGTGAAGTGTATGTTAAAACCATGAAGTAAAGGAGATGAATGAAAGCATATTTGTTTGTAAATATGAGTTGAAGGTGTTTGATTCTTGTGTCTCATTAGATTAAGCTCAAATTGACCTGCTTGTCATGAAAAATGACTATTCTTGCTTTATATTTATAAATATATAATGAACACTTCTTGTGAAAGTTTTTTTTTGAAAAATTGGTTCAAATTACAGTACAATGATTTATTTATTTTTTCTATCCTTTGTTATCATTATTATTATTATTATTACTATTGAGAAAGAAGAAGATTGGTGACCACATTGCCAAACTCTTGTTTCCTTATGGATGGAAATTTGTGTTGCAGAGTGTTGCAAAGAATCATCCAGTTATGTGGTACTTTACGGATCCATCATTTGAGTACCCCTTTCAAGCTATAAAATATGATAATCAGCATGATCAAGTATCTATGGAGCAACATGTAAATTCATTGGTACTAAAACAACCCTTGATGCAAAGAATCCATCATCAGGCAGTGGACAAAATCATTCCTTTTCAATAACCCAATAAAACAAAATTATATATATATATATATATATATATTCAAGTTCACAAAAATTTCTCTAATGCTCGAAGCTGGGTGGGTCCTAAAATGGGTCCTTTACTGAGGGATTTAAGAGTTTTTGAGAGCACTGCAACTCATCACCATCTTCAAGGAGCACCTCCTGGAATGGATGAACTCATAAACTCAACAAGTTGTCCCATCTAAAATCTTGTATGTATGAACAGAAGTGGTGGGTTGAAGCATAATAGATAAGGTTTGGAATGCATGTTGAGGGTGAACAAATGATGGTATCATTGTTTTCTTTATAAAGAATTAAATTAAATATGTTCATATATACATATGCATATGCATACATTCAAAGCGGAAACAAATACTAGAATGGTCACTTTTGATGACAAACCCAGAAGTTTGACATAAGGCTTAAAAAAACAATGGATCAGTTACAAAGAGTTACTCATTTTGGCTCATATGAACCATCAAAAATTATTAATTTCAGTAGGGTGGGGTTTTTGTTTCTTTTCTTTTCAGCAATTAGTACCTTTAAAATAAAACTCTTCTTCTTTAAATAAATTATACAAATTGAGAAAGTAGATGAATGAAAAGAAGCACAAAGTTAATTAGTTTATGATAAAAGAAGTTCCATGACAGGAATGGTAAATCTGCATCGGAACGAATGTTAAATTGGAATAAAAACCTTTGGTGTAAGAATTAGAATGAGGTCAAAGGACATATATTAGCTAAATATCCATATAAGAACACTAACTTCCAAAAGACTCAAAATCATCAGTTCCATGCTTAGAATTAATCCATGGTGATCAATCTCTCTCATTGCTTTGAGGAAGGGGGAAAATAATTAATCAATTAATTAATTAACAAACAAACAAACACACAACAAGACCTGAACAACATTGATAAAAATCCCCTTGTCAAGCAGGGCATTGGAACTCAAACTCTGCTGATATTGGTGTGGGTGGTGGTGAAATTTAGTATTGCAGCCAGAATAGGGATCCATGGGCACAAACCTCTGAGGGAAAAATAACAAAACAAATGGATTAAAAAACCCTAAAATCCTGAAACCATGCCCTGCTTCATTTATTTACGTATTCCTCTATTTCTTTTATTTTATATTATTTTTTCACATTTTTATACTGCAAAGTGGTTGCCAAATGATTGGGACATGAATTTGGTACCAGGCTCAGCAACATCATTCCTTGAACTGTGCCCAGGGCCAGACCCTGTGTAGTACCCATAAACCCTTCCCTATTCATCATCGTGTCTCCCCCCCTCTAAAATTATGAAGTGAAATGTGGGTCATTCTCTCTCTATCTATCTCAATTAGGATTCTGGTTTGTTTTTTTTATTCTCATGGACACATACACATATCATGCATGTTGTTCTTCTGTTGTAAAACCCTCTTACAAATCTACAACCCTAATTAGATGCCAATTGGGCCATGAAAACCTAATTCTGCTGCAACTTGTCTCAATAGGGTTGTTGTGAGAAGTTTTTCTGATTGATGTGATTGAAAGATTGCCTCAAGTGTCAGTTTATGTGACACTGCTTTGGTGTGTAGATGGTAGGGTTTAATGAAGGGCTCTAAAACACCTTCGACACACATTTAGAATGGAGAATTAGTTAGTATCCTCTGAGGCTAACAAAGTGCTGGGTGTGAGTGTTTGTTGCTTACATGTTGGAGGAATGCTTGCTGTTGATAAATGGTGTGTTGCAGTGTAGGGTAGTGATTCTATGTCTGGATAAAAGTGTTCAGTGAAAACTCTATCCTCAAAGTTGTATGAAAATAATAATAATAATAATAATAAAGAAAACAAAATATCTGAAATTGTGAAAACCCTGTGATGAATTGGGCAACAAACACACACACCACTAGATTGGTCTCAAAACACAATAAATAAATAAATAAATAAATAAATAAATGAAACTTTAAAGTACTACAAAATGACTTGATAATAGATGAATAAGTACAAGATTAGTCATCTATAGTTCCCCATGTAGCACATTACTCTAAATTTTGTTTTACCATGTTATTAGGAGTTGAGTAGCCGTTTTGTACTTTTTTTTTCACCTTACGAATGAATGCATTGAACATACCCCATTTTTATGTCAAAAAACACACACACACAAAAAAAAACAAAAAAACAAAAAAACAAAACAAAACAAAAACAAACAAACAAACAAACAATCAAACACACCAATATCTATGTCACACAAATAAATAAATAAATAGAGAGAACATGATATGTATGTATATATATATATATATATATATATTTACCCGCCTTACCACGTCTCGTAGATTCTTCAAAACCTCAAAAAAGCTGCATCGTGCAATTCTCCTACTTGAACTTCCACTTTCCTTGGTTGGTCTCGATTGACTGCGGGGCGAGGAGAGCAAGCTAGACAACGAATTCTCATCACCGAAAAGGGGGGGATATATGAATGGCGATGCCATATTCCGCAGGGGATCAGAAATTTGCTGAAGAAGCAGTTTTCTGGTTTGTCGATAGCGCGTGGCTACTTGTGGGTGCGAGGCGATCTCTTTCGGGAGATCGCCCTCTAATTGCAGAGCCGGACGAAGGAATGTTTTGTGTTGTGTGCTCTACCGGTGTCAAATAAATTTATATGTATATTTCCGGAAAGAAACAAGGAGGGAGAATTAGACGGATACATGGGCTGCAAATGGAATGTCCCCTATCATTGTGAGATGTTCGAATACTACGATTCGTTCCAACGCGCAACTGGTGCCCGATTTGTGTTATGGAAAACCCAGGAGTTGGAGGAATGATGCCGGATACGACTACGATCAATACTGAACTGCGTATTATTATAATTATTATTAGTATGATTATTATTGTTGATTCTGAATTTTCACTTCACTCCAAACGTGACTGAAAAGCGGTTGCATTGGAAACAATAGGAAAGTAAAGGGGGAACACTACTAAACTAGAATTCAGGTTTTTTTGTAAAAATAGTTCTCCAAAAAACATCAATTACTACAATAATTAAATATGGAGAATTTTTATATTGACCCAAACACTTAAGAATTGACCTAACAATGATCGAAAAATTCTCCACTGTTGGATCCGTATTGGTTGAAAACCAATGAAAAATAGTTGAATTCGCAACAAATGATGATGGGTGGATCAATTTAACAATTCTCTTTCTATATAATTATAATTATATAGATAGTACGTAGTAATTAGAGGGTTTTTTTTTTTTTTTTTTTTTTTTTCTTGAATAGTAGGAGGTAGATCTCTTTGTGAAATTTTAATATATATTTTTATTTTTACTTTATTTTTAAAGTAAAGAAAATAGATATTTTAAAGCTTTAAACTTTATTTTTTACCAACATGTTTTGTTATATTCTATAAATAATTATATGTGATCCCTTATACTTTTGCATACAGTCATATCTCTTGTTTAAAGATCATGTGATGTTTTTTTTTTATATTTTCTAAAACCAAGCTCTGAAAACTAAGATCTAAAAGATATTCATATTAATAATTTGATTCAGTTTTTCTTTTCTTTTAAAAAGGTTATTAAAAGCCTGTAGTTAGAAAAAGCTTTATTTGAGCCACTATTAATTGAAGTTACTTTTTTTTAAAACTGATATATTGAATCTATTCAATAGTCTATACTATCCTTTTTAATATCTATGCAAAATTATTTTTCTATTTATATCATATAGTCAAAAGTCAAAAGAAATAAGTCACATTTACTATTAATTTTGATTCTTTCTTCTTTTTTTTTTTTCTTTTTTTTTTTTTCCTTCTTCTAGGCATTAATTGTAATATAAAATAAGCCATGTAAATATGTTATATATATATATATATATATATGCATGTGTGTGTGTTTATTTATATATTTAAGTTCAAGTAAAACCCACAATATTCTATGCTATTTTGTAATTTCAATAGTAGTAGACACATTTGTTTTGAATCATAGTCTGTCTTTCATTGATATTGCATTTTCTCAAAATATAAGCTCATATCCATAAATAATCTATTAATTTTATTTTAGATATTTAATTTTTTCTAAATTCTAATATTAGATTCTTTTTAGAACTTGACATTTAATTATTTAACATTTAAAGATATAATAGAAGGATATAGAGTTATTAAATAATATTTTTAGTAGGTGTTTTAAGAAGTTTAAATTAATATTTTTTTAAGATGATTTTTTAAAATAAATTTCTCATATATGTGATTTAGAAATTATCATTTTTTAAAATAAAAGAAGTCTTGTCATATCCACATACACTTCTTAGTAGTATCTAAGATGTGAAAGATGGTTGTTAATTATCTTTAGAAGCGTATATTTCTATTAAATATATATATATATATATATATTCTTATCAAAGGCAGAATATCTATGGTTTTAAAAATTTTAATTGTAATAAATTCTTAACATTAAAGATCTTTGGTTACTAAGTAAAACACATAAAATATCTTTTTGAAATAAGACTTGAGATTTTTGCACATATATATATATATATATATATTTTATTTGTCTTATTTCTACTACTAAAGCCTAATAATACTGTTATTTAATCTAATAGTTTTATAAGATTTAACTTGTTCTTCTAGCATTAAAAGATGGATTGAATTAGAGTAAAAATTGTTTGTGCCAAGAAAAAGAAAGTGTCTAGATAATTACATTTAAGATCTTACCCTATATAGTTTTTGAATACTTTGCAAGTTCTCTTCACTATTTTAGATCATGTTTTATACTTATAGGTTGTTATATCATCCAATATTTCTATCTTATTGTTTTTTATTTTTATTTTATTTTACTAATTTAGTTTTTTATTAATACATGTCTTTAAAACATTTAAAGATTTAATTTGCATCATATTAAAATTTTAAGTCCTCTTCAATAAAGAATTAACATCAACTTCTTGATTAATCAATTGCAAAAGATAAACAAATAATATATATAACAGTAGACTGAAACAATAGTTTTAAACCTTTAAATACCCTTGTGGCAACAATTCAATCAATCGTTACCCAAATGAATAATAAAAACGACCTTTCTTTTATTTTTTTTGTAATTTTTCTTTATCATTTCTTCTCTAAAAAAGAAGAAGGTAAATGTAGACAACAAATGCCTTCTTCTTCTTCTTCTTTTTCGTCTTCTAATACTTACATGACTCTGTGATTGTAAACGTACGCGTTGTTGTGAATGGGGGCAGAGCATGAAGATTAGTAGAATGCAATGGAATGGAAGCGGGAGCTTTCCACAGATTGCATTTTCCAATTCAAAGAGTGCACTTCTTGCACGGATTAAGCACTAATCTCTCACTTAATCAACTCCTAATCCAGCTCTCGAAACAGCAGCCGAGGTGCCTCAGCTCAGCCTCCCCACAAGATTGCAACACTGGCAAAACCCTAAAAAACACAGCCTCACATCTCAAACTCACCGTGAGCTCTGAAACGGAATAACAACAACAACGACCACAATTAGAACAAGGTCGAGGTGGGTTGGATGATGTTTGAGTTGAAGAAATCCACGCCCCAGTCAAATGGAACAGCAGCACATAAAAAAAACAAACAAAACGGAACACGATGCGGCACAGCCACAAGAAGAAATCTCATTCTTCTTCGCTCCGTTCGAGACGAAATCTTCCTCGTCATGGATACGAGGCCTCAATTCCGGAAATAGTAATACACTAATTTACTGCTGTGTATATGGCCTTGCTGGTCGATTGATTCTCCCTCCTACTTCCAACACCCAGTTGCCTCGGCTAATTTAACCCGCCGCGGCCAAAATCCTTCCCAACAACAAACAGATTATTGGGTGGACCGTTTCTCGGTTGGAATCCCTTGCTTACACTTGGTGGCGTCACGGGATTCGAATGCTTGCCTTCTTCTTCTCCTCGTTGAATGCTTCCTCGGCTGCGGCGTCGTCCAGTGTTCGCGAGGTCTTCAGAGCCCCACTTTTTCTTCTTCTTCTGCTTCTTCTCACCAGGTTTAGGGTTTAGCCGCCATTCGGACTAGGATTCCTTCGCTTTTGGCTTTCGAAGCATCTCGAAGCTTATTGCTGCTTTTTCGAAGTGGGAATTAGTTGCAAGTAATGTTTGTACTTATCCAAAGCATTTTCTGAGAGATGGAGATCATGTACAATTAATTGTTTATTTACTTATTAGACATTTATTTGTTTTTTTTTACAATGCTGTAAGTGGAATGATGTTCGAAAGGTTCAAGCCATGCTTAATTAAAGCATCAAAAAATATTCAAGGACTCATTTCATTATCATTATTGTTATTTATTTATTTATTTTTAAAATCTTTTTAGTGCATTCTATAATGAAGGATAGATTTGGGTTAACAGAAATAATCCTCAATGTACGGAAGCTTATAAAACGTTGTTGTTTCATTTTAAATAATTGAATATAATACGTTGTTACTGAACACACCATCATTGTCTTTTAACCAAATAATTTATGAAATTAAACAAGTATCTTTTTCAGTTATTACTGTATGGGGCAAAGCTCAGTTTTAAGTTTCTGTTTCTTTTGGCAACTAATTATGCTTGCTAGGACAAAATAAAACGGACAATTTGCAAGTAGGATCCAAAAAAAAAAAAAAAAAAAAAAAAAAACTAAACTAAGAAACATGTAGAGTGGGTGGCAGATTGTGGTGGCTATAGCAATCCCCTCAATTTTTGTCAACTACAAAACAAAATGTTGGTTCAGGATATTATGCAGTATTCAACTTAAAGTTGATCAATGTATTTTATCTTCAACGCCTTCCGTTGGGTTCCTGTTTATAGAAGAAATAAAGACAATCAATAAATGTGGGAATGCAAATGGGGAATAAAGATAATGAAGTTCTGACGTGGGGCAGCTGCTACAATGTTGGGAATGCCCTCCTCTCCGTTGTTGGATGCTTAGATTCAGGTATCTGAGGTCAATGTTAGATTCATGACTCGTTTGTCAGTCTTCTGCTACAGTAATTAATGGATGGTCACAAGAAAAAAAAATTAGTAAAAACGATCACAAGGTTAATTTCTTTTGGAAATTTGTACTGCATTATTCGGCTTGCAAAGTTCGCAAAACAAAATCATTTGAAAACTTCATGGAATCCAACATGAAGTATCAACGATATGCGGTCCAGTTACGAGATAAATTTACATGCCAGGATCTGTTGCCGACTGTAGGTACCCACAAGCGAACCTTTCATACAAGCTGCAAGCTTCATTTCGAACGTGCAATCTCAACGTCCCCGACAAACCAAGATCTTCTCGCAATTCAAACATCACCACTTCGATTCAATCACTTGGAAATATAAATGCAGTATTTTTCCCTTACTCGAGAGATTCACGAATCAAACATTGGTTTAGTTCTCACAGGATGATTTACTTCAACAGCAAACCTTGTTACAGTGCACAGAAAAATAAAATGCGTATTAGACAGGGTGTTCCTGCTGAATGCATCTAAAACCTGCGGTCTTATCCATTAAGAACACGGGCATTTTCAGATCAGTTGCACTGGAATTGCTACGTTTTTAAAATAACCGGGTGTTCATAACCAAGAAATCTTACTCTCTGCAGAACATAAAGAAAAATAAAAGTCATACCAGTACATACTGCACATAACATAATATTATTAACAAGGTACATTGAAATGAACTGAAAGAAATCTGCAAGTTGTCGCACATTCAGGAGCAGAAACTTGGTGCAATGCTGCAATCGTAGAATTTTAAATGCTAGGTGGTGGTTAGAGATCAATTGAAATCTTGCAAAGAATACTGTTGGTTTCCCCTCAAGCAAGAACACTGCCCTGCCATTAGCACTCAGGTCTAAAGCCTATAATTTACCAGGTAAAACACACCTCTTGAATGGAGTCCAACTAGTGTCTCTGAGCCTGTATTGTACATGACCGTGGCCAGTTCTACTTAAAACCTTCTTCAAAAGTAGGCAATTAACAAGCCGTGAGGGTACTAGCCATTGAGTTTAGCCATCAGGATTTTGTTGAGAAGACCTGGGTTTACTCTCCCGCCTGACGCCTTCATTGCCTGTCATGTAACATAGGCCGATAAAGCTGCGTTATTAGGAGGAACTTATATGCCACAGTGACGAATATGAAATGCAGAAACGCTCACTTGAACAAAGATTCATCTACAGAAATATCTCAAATAAATCGAACTTCATTCTCTAAATGAAATCAAACAAAAACTCCTTGAAATGTTGAAGCTGAGTTTTTCTCTTAATATCTATTAAGCCCCAGCCCGACAGCATTTTCCAGTCGTCACATAAACAAATCAATAGAACTAGAACTCAACCTGTCCAACAAAAAATCCTTGAAGCTTGGTCTTGCCTCCACGGTAAGCCTCGACCTGCTTCACGTTATCCGCCAAAATTTTGTCCACCATGCTCTCAATGACAGCAGGATCCGAAATCTGGTCAATATCAAAGACTAGAAATACGTCAGGATTGCGAATTGAGAAAGGACGCTGATCAGAGTAGTTGCTTCCAACTTCTATCTTCATCGGCCTATTATCATTATATTAGGATGGTTGGGCTTGGGCACACTACTAGTTAAACAGAGTGCTTAGGACCAACAAATTATGTGTAGAGAAAAACAATCACCTGGCTGAGTCCCTTTGATTCAACTGCTCCCTTTGCGCTGCCACCTTTCTCAATAAGTTCTGGCAGAATCTGCGTTCAAATGTGATCAATACAAAGCTTAGCTCAGTGAAGCTGGCAGCTGGGCTTTAACCTAAAATTATGATTGAGAAGCAAGACCTAGCAAGTTGGTGTAACAGGGAAACCCCCTTGTAAGATGGGTGACACACCTCTTTTGCAATCTTGCCACTAATTGTGCCATCCTTGATAAGGCCAATCAGCTCTGCAAGCGACGCTGGTGTTAATTTAGCTTCAGTGATGGTAAGTTTGATACTTTTCAGATGAGCAGCTACATCTCCCATGATCCAATTCGCCGCCTGCTTCACTTCTGTTCCTTTTTCCAAGACTTCATCAAAGAATGCTGCCACCTGCACAAATGATCAACCTTGAAAAAGCCGCATTATTTTCCTACAAGATGACGAAGAGGGGTAGGATCATTTTATATTTCCGGCCAGAAGGAGTATCTCAATCGGCTTAGGAATAATCTGAAGTGAATAGAACATGGGATATATTTCTATGAATAAACTTACATCACTGTCGTTGGCAAGCACAAGTGTGTCTTGCATAGAGAGACCCAAGCTCTCATAACGCCGGCGTTTTGCATCTGGAAGCTCAGGTAAATTTGCTCTGGTTGTATCTATATACTCCTGAGACAGCACGACTTCTGGCAGATCTGGTTCAGGAAAATATCGGTAATCTGCCAGGCCCTCTTTACTCCGCATACTGATGGTTTGCTGGACCATACAAACAACCCCAGTCACCAATCGCCAATCATTTACATAAAAAAACATGATACTCTATTGTTCATATCTTCACATCTCACCTTATTACAACAACTCTCACATTTAAACAGTAAATTGAAACTTCTTAATACGATTAGCAGTAATTCAGAGTATATGTACAAGCACAACCGACACAAGGGTCACAGCAAATCAAAGAAAGAGACCTGAGAACCCTCTTCCCAAAGCCTTGTTTCTTGCTTTATTCTTTCACCTTCCTCTAAAAGAGCAATTTGCCTGTCCATCTCAAACTCTATGGCCTTCTGCATTGCCGAGAACGAATTCATGTTCTTGATCTCCACCTGTAAAAATACCATCCCCTCTTAATAACAATGCTCAGAACCGCAAGCAATCCCGTTTATTTTCATCAAAAGGTTTCGTCAAGATTTGAACTTAAATCCTACCAACATCCGAACTGTGTAAAAGCAGAAGAGATTTCCCAAAGGGGCAGAAAAAGACCTTGGTACCGAACTGTTCACGACCCTTAGGGCGGATAGAAATGTTGACGTCACAACGCATTGAGCCCTCCTGCATGTTGCCATTGCTGATACCCAAGTACCGCACCATTCGTTGTAGCTCTGCAGCGTACTCTGCAGCCTCCAGCCCTGTTCGCATTTCTGGTTCAGAAACGACCTCCAGTAGAGGCACACCAGCCCTATTCAAATCAACCTACAAGAAAAAAAAATATATCAGAGTTTTGAATAGGAAAATTTCCTAAAGTTCGCGAACTCAGTAGGGTTTAAGACAAAACCTTGAAATCGACATCCTGTATACTCGTAGCACACAATTCGATCATATAATTCCCCTCCTAATTGATAGATGCAAAGAATGTCACATTCTGACAAACCTGAGATGAAGAAGATCCAGAAAGACGATCATTTCCAGCGTGAATTAGTTTTCCAGCATCTTCCTCCATGTGAACTCGGGTTACCCCGAAACGACGATGCCCACCACCAAACTCCACGGGTAGATCGACATCGATATAGCCCTTCTCAGCGATGGGGATATCAAATTGGGAAATCTGGTATCCTTTCGGCAAATCAGGGTAGAAGTACTGTTTTCTGTCAAACTTGGACTTCAGCGCAATATTTGCCTGCAAAGCTAGTCCCAGCTTGACGCCAGACTCCACCACTGCCGCATTTAAGACAGGAAGTGCGCCGGGAAGTCCCATACAGACGGGGCACACATTGGCATTGGGCTCGCTGCCGTATTCCGAAGGGCAGGAGCAGAATGCCTTGGTAGATGTCCCTAGCTGTACATGAGTTTCTATACCTATCACGGCCTCATACTTATCTGCCGTGGTTTGAGTTTCCCCACTGCCCCTCTCTTGCGTCATTACGCGCGTCTTTACGGGCCGCGGCTCTCGCTTTGAATTGGAGGCTACGCTATGCAGACAGTTTGTGATTTGCGATGCTCCTGCTGCCGTTGCGGTTCGCTTCCATTTCAAGCTCCCTAACGCTGCCGCCTCTCGAAACAGTATCGACGTCCCAACACCCCGAGCCAACTCCAGACAGCGCCATGACGCCATTTCTGCCCACCTCTACAATCACCTCTTCAATTCATTACTTCGATTTCTCCAAACATGAACCTCAACCACAGTCTTCCAACCAGACAAACCCAAATCTCAACGCAGAACTCACATTGTTAAAGAGTTACTCAAAGTCTCCACAAACCTAAAATTCGAAATGAAAAAAACTGCATCACATATGACCAATGGCCTCCAGTTCCAGGATTACCGAATTACGCAATTCAAACCCATCTTATCGCTCGGATTCATTAAAAAATCTCACCACGTAGACTACACCCACAGAACTTTTCAAATTCGGCAGTAGTACCTGATGCGAATTTCAAGGTAATCCGCCTCGAGAGCACTAATTGACGATTGTTGTTGCAGGAGCAGCAACAACTCTGAAGAGTCTTTGTGAATACCAGAAGGATAACGAGAAGGAGGGCCATCCACAGAGAACCGATATCGGCTATCCAACCGCCATTACGGATGAATGAGCCTGAGCCGAATAATCGAATGTCACAACCCATGAAACCTAGTTATGGTGTTGGATTGAGTATTTGCTGAAGTTAAGCCCTTCTTTCATATATCCACGAGGGTCTAGATGGAATTTGGAATGCCTCCAGAGAACATTAGACTTTGCAATGCTGTTTGTGAAGTAAGAATACGGGTGGGAAGGATTTTGATCAGTGTTGAGGCATTCCCAGGGCTATTGCAGCGAACGTTAGAGAGGGAGGCTCGTTGGTACGATCAAATGTTTTGCAGAGAGCTTGATATATTCCAGCCGGTTCGTGCAATACCTATTAAGTTTACCACAGAGTTTTACTTAAGTTGTTCTTCCAGCGAGACGAATTCTCTCAGCTTGGACAGATTGAGAGGAAGATCTGAGAGTGCGCAAGCCAATCTGAAGCGCTTAACCTAATATGAGTGGAAGAAGACAACGGAGATTCAGACTTGGACGTCAACAGAGGAAAAGATCCGGTGTAATGGACGAACTCGGACGAGAGGCATGGAGTTACGCAAGATGTCCAAAGCTCAGTTACTCCAGAACACTTCGCCATGCATTACGAATATTTCTAGGTCTGCGTTGCCGCCCCTGGAGGTGATAAGTTCACTTTCATGTAAACACCCACAAGCTGAAAAAGAACTAAGGTTTCATTTGTGTACAATTAGCACGAGAAACGCCGTCTCACAAATCAGCACCTGGAGATTCAAGGTTTCAAGAAGGTTGAGTATCTGTGCTACCAAGGTACATCAATCAAAGCAACCTGTGGTGATCGGATCTAGAGATGGTATTTATTAAGACAAACCACCTAATTAGCTAATGAACAAACTACGTTCACAATATGCAAGTACAACCCAGCGGAATCCTTCACTGCCACAAACCAACGACTTATAAGGGGAGATGCATGTCCATCCATGAGTGCATGAGAAAAAATTGCGTGTTACAGAAAGAGTCGCGTCCTGGATGTAGATTGCCATTTGCGACCTGAAGCTTAACTATGGCGTTTCCCAAACAGACTTCCTAGCTTAATCATATCTGTCAAGATACTACCAAGAAAAAACTCTATTGCTTCTTTGTCTTCAGGTATGGCAGAGCGCCAATCACATTCTGCCAGTCACAGTGCTTCACCTCGGTCTGCAAAGCCAGCCCATGCGATTCATTTAGCTTCCATCTATCTCTAGTCATAAAGTGGAGTTGCACAGCGGAATGAAGAGTCCAGTGTTGAGAACGAATTCAATGGCATTCACGCGTCAGCAATGTTAGTTACGTTCATGCGGAGAAATATGATTCGCAAAACATACACTACCGAGCTTCGACGATCCAAATTGTTAAGATTATACCTCTGCATTGAATTAGCATTAGAACAATTAACATACCTTGCCCGCGAGCCGGTTCTTGCGCTTCGTGGACTTCTTCCGCAGAAGATGAGCCCTTCCTGCACACCTTCTGGTGATCTTACCACTTCCTGTTACACCAAACCTCTTGGCTGATGCCTGCATTGCGTAAATGGACGTCAACAACAAGTCAATTCCCAGATATGAAAGTATTTTGAAGAGAGACTGCACATAGGCCTCTGAAAATTGCCCAATGACATTCTAGGTAGCATTCCTTCAAACCATAAACCGTTTCACATTTCGAGGATTAAACAACCAATGCACGCCAGCGGTGGACTTGACTTACAAGCCCAACTCCTTCAAGGGCTTGTCTGACATGTCCAACTCCACTAGCGTTCCCATAGGCTAAAACAAATTTGTCCACGATTGGGAGCCGAACAAGCGCTACCAGATGCCACTACACCATGGCGACACTCAAAAGAGATCAACAAATTGAACAATGAAGGAGACTTTGTAGGCACTCGTAACAGAAATAACTGTGCGCCCAGTTCATTTTTGGTTACCGAGAGATACGTCCCGTAATTGTCATACCAAAGATGCGTACCCTTCCCCAAAACGACCAGCACTCACCTTGTGGGATTTGAGCTTGTAACCGGCGGCAGCCATGGGCTGCACAACGAGCTTCTTGCATGCCGGCGTCACCTGGACGGCAGAGAAAGAGACGCTAGTGGAGTTGGACTTGAGTGACAAGCCCTTGAAGGAGGAAACGAGATGGACATCTCGAAGCCTTGCCAAAGGGCATGCTCGCAGCATCATCGCCATGGCTTTCAAGGTTTCAAACCCTCGTCTACCACCTGGTCACAACACCGTCTCGCACAGTCCCACTACTACCAAGACTTGTGACTGTTCGAAATCACACAGGAACTGAGGGAAATTGAGAAGTGTTATCCTGCTTCTGTTCAGACCAGATAACGCAGGAGCTCCAGACAACAATCTTGTAAAATTTCACAACTGATTCTACTCTCTCAATACATTTTCACATTCATCGAAGACCTACGATTGTCGTTCTAGGAGGATCACTCCATGTTTGAATGAATAATGAAGGGTCCAGGATTTTGCGAGGTGACGTGGTTGTCTCCTGTCGTCCACTTCTGTGGTTGTGATTCACAGCAGTCTACGTCAGATTGAAGGTCTCCGAAATATAAAGTTGCGCAATTCTTTCAGTTAAAAGCAAAACATTGGGCGTAAGAAGTTTTAATTAGGGCATAAACTTAGAGTGTGACAAAATGAGGTGGATAAAGTTACCAAACCGTGAAGCGACACTCTGAACCTCGAATTCTTTCGGTCTTGGATCACTAACTTTCACAGTAACAAGCTGACTGTGCTTGAACACTGATGTACGTTTCTCTAATCTCTGAGGCATTTGCCTCACGGACATTGGTGCGGCGTGTTGCGATGATTCCAGGTCCGTCGTCTGTTCAGAGATGAGTATCTGGGTCTTGTCAAGCGAGTGTTGGTTTTATTTGTAAATAGTGATCAGCGGCGGGTACAGTTATTACTCGTCATGGTGGAAGGCCCGCTGTTGCACCGCCTCGCGTTCGCGCATCGCAAGCTTCTCTTTGGGCATGTACACTTTCTCCACTCTTTCTGTTGTGGGTGCGTTTCATTTGGAGACGAAGAGCCACAAATTGTTTTGGTATTGCTTGGAATAAAATTTCATGAGTTTGATGAGGAGGGCTTCTTTTCTATCTTCTCTCTTCTTCTTCTTTTTTTTTTTTTTTTTTTTTTTTTTTCCAATTTGCTCTGGCATTGAAATTGGCAGAGATTTACTGCGACATCACCCACTGGGCGCTTTGCCGATGGCGCTGAGGCTATCGATGGACATTTTCTTACGCATATCGAGGTGCACGGGAAGAATATTTTCTACGTGAGTTGAACGAAGATCCTTCTCTCGAGCTCCTTCATCATGCATGCCAGCATTTTCTAGAAACCTTGGATTAAAGTGTTTTATATTTGATGCTTTCCACAATTTTGTAGATGGATATCATGTATCTTAAAATAAAAGTTCGCTAAATATTTTGCTGCTAATCTTCTGGATTGGCAGTTTTTCACTCCCGAGAGAGTTGAAGAGGAAGGTGTGTTGGAGAAGGTTGGGGATGATGCCGTTGTTGTCCATATTCACTTGGGAATGTCGGGATCCTTTCGTCTGTACCCATTTCCAGGTACAATGGATGCAGTGAATGGTCGGTCACTTTGAAAGTGTTGATTTGCTTCTTTTGAGGTCGTGGCTTTGTGTGTTATGTTGAATGTAGCCCTATTGCGGTGTCGCTTGGGTAAAGTACTCGATTGTTTTTCGATGAACAGTAATATAAATGTGCTACAGCCATGTCTCTGATTTTTTTTTGTCTGGGTTATTAGGACCAATACCAAGGGAAGCTACGCGACTTCGCTTGTATAACGAAGAACTAGGGTTTGAAGCACATTTGAGTGCATCAGTGTGTGATCATGGCAACATTGAGCTGTATCGGTACATAACTGCTCTCCAGTTTCTACATGAATCTAGAACTCTCACCAAGGGAGGTCAAGTTATAAGCATAGTTCTTCACCTGCATATACGTGTACACTTTTCGCTCCTACTTCAACAAATAACTCAGAGTATTTTCTGTATCATGACCGGGGACTTTATTGTGTTTCTTTAAGTATACCTTTTTTTGAGATTTTGTGTAATGACGTTTCAGGAAAAAGATAACAGAGTTGGGCCCAGATCCTTTGCGCAAGGATGCGGATAAGGAGCTTCTTTGGGCGAGTATACAGGTATTGTTGCTAAACTTAAAACTACGATCCTTATGTAAACAAGCGTTTAGTGAAATACGTGACATACAATGTAGCCACTTTTAGAGGGTCTGCTTACCCCCTTTACTCATCGTTGGATTTGTTTCGAGCTCAAGCATCACATTCATATCTTTGATAGAAAGTCCATTTCAAATTATGGGCAGCATCTGATTAGTGAGATCGGACAGAAAACGAAGCGGAGCATTGGAGCCGTTTTGATGGATCAAACACTCGTTGCCGGGATTGGTAATATTTACAGAGCAGGTGTGAAACTATGTACAATCATGCGATTTTTGTTCTTTTTCGTGTGTCTTTCATTCTCCAATGAATCCTTGTAGCAACTATAACAGCTTTAATAGGTACATTATGGATATATCACTGTGATACTTCGTGAATATGGGTGTAATTTCTTGTTAATATGCCCCCTGATTTCTACACCACAGAAATATTGTTTGTGGTGGGACTTCATCCAGAGCAGCCAGCTAATACGGTGTGTCGTCCTACGTTTGAGTTTTTGTGGGAACAGGTACTCTCTTGTAATTTGAAATGTTCATCTCGATGCTGTTGGTTTTAACGTTGCGAGCTGAGATTTCAGTGAGATGTTTGTGAAGGTGTTCTTCATTTGTGGAAGTTTTCTGATATGTTCTCTCCGATCAATGCTTTATTTTTATCCATTAAGACTACCTGTGTCATTATGCTGAGCAGTCAAAACGACAGATGGAAATTGGAGTAGAAGTGGGCAACATCATTACCATATTACCTGAGGACTCAGGTGTGGCTTGTAGGACTTTGACGCTTTTTAATTGCTACTGCTGTGGCTCACACTCCTACGTATACACAATCCTATGCTATATTTTCGATGATTCCACATCAATGAGTTGTCATGATTAGGGGTGCTTCTGTGATGCTAGATAAGCCTTTTCCGAAAAAAATAAAGGCAAGTCAACTGCGTTATGTGTACAATCAAAAGGCCTGCGGAAAGTGTGGTGGGCCTATTAAAGTCTGGACCATAGCTCAGAGGTATTGAACTTGAAATGCTGGCATGATAAATTCAATTCATGAAGGTCTGTTTTTAGTAGTGCTCATTCATTTATCTGTCCAGGATAAAGTAGTATGAATCGGGGTATTGTTTTCATGTGAAGTCGTGTTTGTATTTAAGTGAACATAAATTTGAAGGTGTGGGTGATTGTTTATTGCAGAAGTGTATATGCTTGCGAAGCATGTCAACCGCCACCCCCTTCAACCACTACCGTAAGCAAAACATTTACGAGGAAAACTTCAGTGGGTATAGCCAATTCCAACTTAGACGAAAGCGGTGATGATGTTCACAGTGTCAGTGGAATTCCTGGAAAGAGGCCTACAAGGCAAGTAACTCAATCTCCTTCCTCAAGTCTCTCCAAAGAGAAGTTTTAAAAACCGTTTGCAGCATAAGATTAGTTGTTTGTGATCTTGACAAAGAAAAATTGACGATGATAATTCGTCTGTGGTTTTCTGACGTTAATTCGTCAACATAGACTGTAATGAGAGCTGAAGCAAGTGTCATGGAGGTATCGTAAGAAATTGTCGTACACACACCCTTTGACATGTCCAATTTATTGAGATGTGACGAAAGAATTAATGCTTTGCAAATGAAACAATTCAGAGTGTGATACTGCGAATACTGCTTTTTGGATGCTTAATGTGGTTGCATGATACGATCAGTGGAGTTTAACTTCGTCTCTGTCTGCAGGAAGAGGGTAGCCGAAGGTGGCAGAGTGATGGTGCACCAGGCTTACAAGAATCAGGACCCCAAAGGGTTACCTGAGTCGTTTGTGGTTCCTGCTGAAGAGCAATCTCATGAACATAGCGATAATGATGCTCGATCTAAAGAAGAGGTTGCCCAGACGAATAGTTCAATGCAGACTGATGGTGATGACAAAACTGGCATCCTAAATTCTTCAAAACCAAGAAAAGGGAGGAGAAATGCAAGAACCAACCAAGCTGACCAGCTACGGTCACTTCAGTCGGACGTGATGAATACCAGCACTTTTTCAAAGAAGCCACCGGAACGGCGTAGTGCACGTCTTAGAAAACAGGCTGTTACAGCACTTGACCAACCTGGCTCCATTGCACTAGGCTTCAGGGTTCGTAAAAAGAGGACCATCTTGAAGTAGTCTTTTATTTCGTTTTGAATGATTCTGTGCTCATCTGACGTGTAGTTGCATAGTTGTGGCACAATTTTGAGTTGTTCTAGAATTGATCACTCTCATGTTTCCTCAGGGAAAGTCGGAGTTTCTGCCTGCGGGAGTTGCAAGATTGTTTATCCAGAATCATCCAACAACCACTGTGAGATATGCCAGAGTGTCGCTATCCGTCTGTAGGTGTTTGGACGGTTCTTCTAGCATGAGGCTCTCTAGTGCTAATTCTCCTGTCCGTCGACTCGTTCGTCCCTTGGGAAGTGCACCACCTATTGTTAAATCTACAGCTTTTGGATCGATACTGCTTGGTGCAATGTTCCTTAGAGGCGGTTTGGCAAGTGTCAAGTGTTAGTTGCAGCACAGTAAAGTTAGGAAAGATGGTCGTTCATATTTAAACATGGTTTTGGCGGATCTAGCAACTGATCGTTGCTATGTGTGAAAAATCGGGTTTCTATGTCCAAGCGATTGATGTTTTGGGTGTTGTAACAGTGCTGAAGTGTACTCCAGCTTGTACACTCTAAAAACAGCTGTGACGTGCTGAATACATTCAATCTCAATGTCTATTTGAACACTGTTTATAGAGGTCGAGAGTCATGTAATATTAGCTTCGGTAAAAGATATGAGTTGATAATGTTTTGATCCCGAAGTCGGTATAATTATCGAATGAGTAAGAGAATTTGTCACTGAATAGAGACTCTCAGCATGCAGAAATGGTTTTGTTACACGCAGAAACGTGACCATTCCGACTTTTGTAAACATTACATTCCCAATAAGAAACAGAACCTCCTCATTCTTCAATTTATCCTCTACTTTATTGCTGTTACTATCAATTCTATCACTATATTCCGCACTACAGGCAGACGACGGGCCACGAGATTAGGAACAGTGAGGTTTCAAAACGAATTATCGATGGCAAAGAGATGTTCCCATGAGGAAGTTATAAAACTTTAATTCTATGAAAGTCAACAGATTGATTAATCTCCAATTACACAAGACTATTTTAAGTTTACCTTGTTCTGCAGAGGCTATCTCACAGTTACTCTTCCAGAAAGTTGCAACTATTCCAAGTAATACAGGCATTAAAAGCGAAATTGATGAGCCCTAATAATATTTAAGATCCCTCAACCAATGCTGCAGTGGCAATAGCAATTTCTGAACCTACCCTGGCGTTGTTTTTTATCAACGCAATATCTCAACACAGTCAAAGAAATTCAGTGAAAAATCACGTGTTATTTGTCTATTACCTGATCATTCACAACTAGGAATTAAATTCAACAAAACAACCAAATTATGAAGGTTTCGTACTTAAGAAAGGATACTTGCAGACAATGATGCACCTCCGGTGAGCTCGTTCACACGGTTCAGTACAAAAGGGGTTACTGCAGCTCCTGTGATGTTTTTATCCCTGTCCAAATAAAGCGAAAAACCCTGTCAAAGAAGAGCCAACTTTGCCCCCTCAAGCTTTACAAATAATATATTTCAGGACCAGAAAACTAAAGCATGTCCATTCCCAACACCTGGCAATGTTGAGACAAGAGATTAAAGGATGTCGACATGCCACAAAAATCAGGACCACTGATCTTCAAAATTTCTCTCGTCATAGGCAAAATAAATGTTTCCAGTAGGAAATCAAGCAACTTACTTTATTTCTTTCAAGGAGGTCTGAATAGCAATCTCCACAGGTTCAGCTGCAGCTGCGTAATGCGCTGGAATAGGCACTCCCACCAGGATCCCGCTTTGTAGACCCATATTCATGTTGGCGACTGCAGTATAAATAACAAAAAAGAGAAACAAAGAGCATTGTTTTCAATAAAGATGACCTAGCTGAGAATAACCTTCGTTAGTATAACTCCTCACATGTTCGAATGCACATTCTGACTCTACCAACTCATTTCTCATGAGAATACTAGACCTTCTCGTGAGGGTAAGTTCAGACTATCACCCGCGTCTTGAATCATAAGCCGATAGGTAAAACAGAATTCGCTTCGTAACTATGGCAAAATGTAATCAATCCGTCATTAAGCGATCCAAAAAGCAACATAAGATGTACCAGTTATTGCAGCACATTCTTCAGCTGTGTTCACCCGAGTTGGAGCCTGCAACATACATTAAGTACAAATTCAGGTGTAGTTTAAATCTACCAGATACAGAGGAACGTCTGAGAAACTTACTATTCACAAATTACCTCGAACAGATGTTTACCTTGCAACCACTTCTTGGAGTGAAGAAAGCTGGAAATTCGTCAGTTCCATACCCAATCACTGTCACTCCTTGAGTCTCCTGCGTGATAGAGCTCAACTTTAAAATCTTTCACGATTAGACAATTTTAGAGCTTTTAAGTGCAGAATTTGAAGGTGCAATTATGCAGTGAAAGGTTTGTAGAGAATACCAAAAATTCAAGCGTTCTTGGAATATCAAGAATAGATTTGACACCAGCACAGACCACAGTAACGGCTGTTCGACCAAGTTCAGTCAAATCTGAAGATACATCCATGGCTGCTCAACCATACACACAAATCTTGTCATCATCAGCAGGTTTTGATACAAATCCAATGAAACACATGAAGCTATTGATTGCATTTGAAAGTCTACAAAGAAAGCATCTTCTGAGTGTAACTAAGTGCAACGTGCCAGGTTTGAAGCTAAATTCTAGAAGGAATATGCTTTAACTTGAGTTTATTTCAGTGGCGTATAAGGACAAGCTAAGAATTAGTTATTTTATCGATTGACCTACAACCTCGTTCCCTACGTTACCTATTTTCTTGGGTTTATAGATTTATTTAAATAAATAAAAAAAGCTGCAATCAGTGCAAGAAAACCGTACTTATTTCACCGTCTCGATGGACGCCCCCAATGCCACCAGTCACAAAGACACTGATGCCCACCTACACATATAGTCGAGTGTACAGGAAAATGAAACCAGAGGTGGCAAGAAAATGAAACTTCAATGTGACAAAGATCCCAAAAATCACTACAGACAGTTGAAAGAAAGGAAACTCAAAAACAAAAATAAAGCCTAAGGGAATGTTTGTGACAATGTTAACCTACTTTAGCGGCAAAAAACATGGTGGCAGACACCGTAGTCGCTCCAGTTGCTTGCTTCGCTATCTGAAATCACAACAAAATCTGAAACACTAAGACCAGACAGCAAAAAAGTGCGAATGCAGAAAATGAATCATTCTCAAGCAAGAAAACGTCAAGCAAAATACAGAAACTTACAACATGGGCAATATCTCTGCGAGATGTCTTTATAGCTTTCTTCCCAAGTTGAGCAAGTTTTTTCAACTCAGCCTCCTCTAGACCTGCCATCAAGGACCATCACTTACTGATACACATCAAGGACCATCACCTATTGATACAAGGAAAATTGCAACCCTATTGGGAAAGCAACGCCCTCAAAATATCAGAAGTAAGTTACATGCGGTTGCGACAAGGGTATTGAAGATCAGGCATGGGACTCCAGGAAATCTGAGATTTCATTGTATGCAAGGTATTCTGAAGAAAGTGAACATTCAGGTGAACTTGTGCAAAATCAATTTACGAAGGCAAGTGCCAGACTGATTAGAAAACGCACGTTAAGGCAAGGTGGTACCAATGCAAGGGGCACCGTCGAGGATCGCAATGGTGGCTGGCACAGCACCACTGTCTCGCACGATAGATTCCACCTCTTTGGCAGTTTCAAAATTTTGTGGGTACGGCATACCTACATAACAACATAAAGCCGTGCACTCAGCTTATACTCCAAGCAAGCACTACCACGGTACAGTATCCAAGGTTATGAGATCATCCAGTACTATTTAGCGTCCTGCATAACATTCTACAGCAGTTGGATCAACCCACAACCAACCTCGATGGTAAAAGAAAATCTAAAGTGAATCAACCATGACACCCCTTTAACATGTGAAGGCAGAATCTCATTGGTTTTAAGGACTTGGCAAGTCTTGTTTCCCTCTCTTAATTGAGATCAATTAATCAAAAGTAAGTATCCACAATTTCTTTTCGACCAGATCAGAGGTATGTCAGTTGAGTACTGAAGAATATTATGTGGGACAGAGGTCATGAATTTCTCACTCATATCTCTCACTAAATATTCTATGCATTAAAGAATCAAGGGACTAACTTCTGGTCCACAGTCCCAGATACTAACGACGACCGATCTGATACCTTTACGTTACGGCTCATCTGGATTATGCAACATATGTAAGCCAAACAAATCCCTTCATACCATTCCACGTTTATATATTTGCATGTGCGATAAGATTGTCATGTGCTGAACGACGTACCATGAGATATGATAGTTGACTCTAAAGCAACTACAGGAAAACCTCTCTCCAAAGCATCTCTCACATCTGCTCTTATTTGTATTCCTCCATCGACAATCGCTTGAGTGCCCATCTGCTTCAAGAGGAAGGATCTATCAGGGTTACACATGTGAGGCAGTAACTTGACCTCGCCCAGATGAACCAAATAACATAACCCGCACTAGAAAATATGAATATGGACAAAAGTTGTCAATTCTGACCATAAATGGATTTGGTGCTGAGCATAGAGCTGGTGATATGTGCCGAGCAATGGTGGCAACTCGGCATTGAGCCCTCGTCGAAAAACCCCACTCCATCCCTTGCTTGACTAACAGTCCTCTTCCCTTGCAGCACGAAGGCCGATTTGAAGAACGTAGTACGTGGAATTGTTCCAAATTTAAATGATAGTATATTGATGCATTGCCAACAGCCTGCTTTCAGCACTTCAAAACCCTGATTAACTCAGATGAAATGAATCAAATTCACTTCAATGCTCACAAGATGTCAGAGATAAATACAAAGACAAACCATCGATCCTCCACGAGGATCAATAAACCACGGGCATACCATGAACTGGTCAGATTATCCGACATTCCCAAACGAACAGGAACACGTAAAAACACGAGATCCTCAAGCTTTTGTTCCAATGTAACAATACTAGTACCAATTGATACTCTTCCAAGATTTAACTCAACTTTCAAACCAATATGTGAACAATTGGCTTCACTCGTCACCCTTCCTATAGAAAGCGCACAAACACACACGTTATCCTCAGAAAAGGAACGAGAAGATTCTAAACCCACAAAGGCCCACTAAATCCAAGACGAAATAGCTGCAATGCTTTCATAGTATTCTCACAATCTAGGCACCTGGGAATCTCACGAAGCAACTCACCACCAAAGCTATGGCGAACACCTACTCATCCAAAACTCAAACGAAAATCCGAGACAACAGCAAACACCTCAAAATCTTCAACCTGCAACCCAGTGTCACGATCGAAGAACCATAAACCCTAGATGCCAGAAGTCCGCGTTTCGCGATTGGAGACGACGATTACCGCATCGCAAACCAGTGCCGCACGGAGTTTCCGAGGAGGAAGAATTCATGCTGGACAAGATTTGAATAATCGACATGGCATACCACGTCAGATCGGAATAGACCCAGGTGGCAAAATTGCACGGGGACAGTCAGCTCTCTTTAGTTGTTGAATGCACCCACATCACAACATTCTACTTAAAGATGTACCACTCTTCTTTTGGTTTTTTCAGTGGGCTTTCTTTAGTTGTTGAGAGCACCCACAACACACCACTACATAAAGATGTATCAATCTTCTTCTGGTCTTATTAGTGGGCTCTTTTTAGTTGTTGAGAGCATTGACAACACAACATTCTATGTAGGGATATATAACTCTTCTTTTGATCTTATTTGTGGGTGTCATAGTTAGGAGGTGGTATATTGAAAGAAAAACCTATAAAATAAGAAAGCTTTGGTATAAGATAGAGAGATATAGAAGTTTTCTCATTGGCTCAAATCAAAAATAATTATTAACCAACAAAAAGCCCTGCATAACTTATAAAAAGACCTCTAGTTTACTATTTGTAAATATTTGATAATATGAGGGGAAAAAAAGAAAAAAAGAAAAAAAAAAAAAAAAAAAAAAAAGGTTGGATGGATATCTATTAAATATCCAAAATAATTATTAACCAACAAAAAGCCCTACATAACTTATAAAAAAGACCTCTAGTTTACTATTTGTAAATATTTGATAATATGAGGAAAAAAAAAAAAAAAAAAAAAAAAAAAAAGGGTTGGATGGACATCTATTAAATAGCCAAAATTGTGTGCTTGGGATAATTAGAACCTAGATTAGTAAAAGGATTTATTTGCAAGAACATTGCATAGAAATGTTAATTGTGTGGACTTATTATTTTGTGATTGTTTGTTGTCACTTGTTGCATCTTCATCTTGTCTTTCAAGTCTTATTTTGTCCTCATTTGCACTTTCTTTGTGTTTGGGTATTGTAGGTTTGCACTTTGATTTTTTGTTGGTTTTGTACTTTCATATAGTCCACTAAATGGATTCTATACTCTTATTTTGGACAAGCTTATTTCTATGTTTGTCACTTGTTCCAATGTAATTAAAGAATTTGAATTGATTCAAGTTTATGAAATGAATTATAATACTTGAAATAAATAATAAAGCATTTTATTCTTCAAAACATGTCTAATACAAAAATATCATTAAATATATTAGATACATCATTGTATTTGATATTACTATCTAAATATGTTATCATATTAACAAGTCAAATTTTAAAGAATACAGTGGTATATACTAGTTAATGAAGTTGTTGATGAAAGTACACAATTTAACATTTAACATTTAATATAATATATTAATCGTACACACATAATTATAAATATGTGAAATAATATAAACAAAAAATGATACTTCTTATCTTTTAACAACCATACCTTTAATACTTTTGTAATTTAAAACTAAATTTGTAACATATATTATACCAAAACCGTTTTATAACATACCATAAAGTATAAAGAAGAAAAAAGAAAAAGAAAAGAAGACTCATGCTATTAATAAAGAGTTCCAAATTTTATATTATCTATGCTTCCAAATTAGCCAAATTAAAACTTGTGTTATTTTATATTGTGTTTGTTGTAATTATTATTGTTTTCTCTTTTTAAAAAATCACAAATTGTGAATTATATAAACCTTATAAATGATACATATATGATTTATTTTTAATAAAAATATATTCCACTGTACATCAAATGTGCCAAAATTTTATTTTGAAGTTCAAAAAATAAATACAGAATTACAGAAAATAAACAATGTATGTATGTATGTATATATATAAGCCATATTAGGATAACAAAGCATAAAAGTAATAGCAAAATTCTGAATTGAGAATATTAAAGGTACAATTTGAATTTCTTCATATATATATATATATATATGCACATCAACTATATTTTATTAAAATTATTTTAAAATTTATTATTTTATTTCTACAAAAAAATGTTGTAGGCTGGTTTTGTAAATATATGTTACAAAGACTGGTCATTATTCTTTTATTTTCTATTACTAATCAAAATTATACTTGATTTAAACACCAAAAATTTGAAATGAGCTTTACATTGTCATGTATTTTCTGTATGCAAATCAAAAAATGTACTTACCCCATATCAGTTAATTATGAACGGATTACGCAAATGGAGTAATTCTGGAGTTGCATTTGCTCTCCTATCAACATACACATCTTAAGAAAGTAAAAAATGCACAATACACTTAGAAATTATACCATGGTACAATAAATGTCATAAATAATTTAGGGGTGCTTAACACACAATTTAACCATCCAATCTAACTTATGTTACAAAAAAATACAAAGTGAAAATTTCTTGACATAATCTAGCACAACTAAGAAGTCATTTACCTTGACTGAAAATAATTTAACTTGACCACAAAATCACATGCAACTATGTGTCAACTCGTAGTTTATAGTTCATTATTTTTTCAACTTGGTGTATTTTTGCAAAGCTGCTGGTGGGGCCTAATCTTTACATGCATGATTGAACAAAAGTAAAGGAAAAAAAATAATCCACTTCGGAGCACCTAACACTACGCTTTAGCCAACACTTCATGGCCAAAAGGAATAGAAGGTGTCAAAACTACCTGCATATGCTGTGCCTAAGAAGCGGATAAGGCCATCTTTCACAGATCGACCTACCTTACGAAGAAATATTGAAGAACAGAGCATAACAAATTAAATCACAAACCTAACTCTGTCCCATGAATTTCAACATCTTGCATAATCTGTTTAACTGAAATTTAATTCCTTTTACCTGGTCATACAATATACTCAAATACGTATTCGAAGGTCCTTCACCCTTTTTTGAAGATAAAATAATGAGAACATGCTCTCAATGTTTGAATTAAAGTTTTTGGATATGCATGCCCCTTTGAGAACATCACAAATTCGACGTTTTCTGCAAGATAATGTTTCCTACATTAAATTGCTCAAGCCACATCAACTTAAGATCTCTCAAGTACTAGGACATCGAAGATGGCCCTTGATCCCACTACTACATTGTACTGAAAGGATGGGGAGCTGATACTGAGTAAAAACATGATTCATTTTCGAACTGTAGAATATGTTCCCTTCTAGTTGGATTAGCAAAGCTAAGTTCGATTCTAGCAAAACTTCATCAATTTACAATGACTGACAATGTGCACAGGATGTTCAAGTCGGTGCCACAAAGAAGTGCAAGTAACTCATCATCAGATTACATGCATCGCAGCCGCGCCGCACATTGATGCTCTAAGTCACGTACCTTACGCCAGCGTTCTAGTTTGAGTGTGGGTTCCAGGTAACTCACAGCCATCAACCTTGCCATTGTCAGCCATCTGCAATCGCCAGCGTGACAACTATTTGCTCAATTATAATGAACAGAAAACTAATTCAATACTACTTAATTCACTTCGTATTCCATCAGTTCTCCGATAAAGACATGGTTAGTTAAAACAAAAATGCTACTGCAGACTCCTTGGAAAAACCCTCAAACAAAGCTAAGTAGCAAAGAGTATAATAGAGAACGGCAAAAAACTATGCCACAATTCACGTGAAATATAAAACATGCATTACCTTCAAGCAATGTGCGACACATGAAATGATCTAACCCTAAGTTGGGACTCACCTATGAAAAACATCCGGAGCAAGTGTCCGATCTTCTTGCCTAGCGGCCACAAGGTCATTCTCTACAATCTGGATGTATGCAAGAGAATATCATTAGGAAAAGCCATGAGCACCAGTAAATTTCCTGAAACATCGGTAATATCAAAGTTAGGATATTATTGAATACAACAACATGCCTTTTGCGTGGATTCGTCGAGCGAGTGGTCCATTTCTCGCGCCTTCATGATATAGCGTCGCCAGCTAATAAGATCCGAATCGGTTACGTTGAATGGATTGTGGCTAGCAGTTGCGTTGAGAGGTACAATAACGTCAGTCGGAAGAATCCGGGATTTTCCCTGAAGCACATGAAACAGAAATTGTGGAATAAGGATAACTTCCCCCCAAATTCAGGAACACATTTACAGAAGCAGAAATATTAATTCACTCCAGTCACGTGAGTTAAGAGAATATCTATTACCTGAGAGAGAACAAGGACGGGAACATCGGCTGGCATTTCCATCTTATGATATTGGAAATCGTATTCGACCTGAACGATTCACAGAATTCAAAAAGACAGTTCCCAGCTGAAGTCAATTCACAAGTAGTAATGAGTTTGTTGCAATATGAGAAGCGGATGGATTGGAAACCAGCCTCCGTCTACAAGAACACTAGCTGAAAAAAAATTCAACTGATCACACATCGCAAATTGCTCATCATGAGGTGCCTCAGACGTCCCCATCTCAAGACCAGAGTTAAAAAGAACCTCTCACCTTTTGCCACTGCAGTAGATGCTTCAAAACCTCCAAATTCTGTACTCCAACACTGTTGAGTGTGCCCGCCTGCAAAGCAGTCTCATCCAAAGTCAAGTGCGTCCCATCTGAAAGTTGCATTGCACCCGTCACAAGCCTGCAGAATTTAAGAGAAGTGTTAGATAATGACTCAAAGCTTACTCTCTAATGTAAAGAAGAAGAAATTAAGACAACGTATAGAGGAGGAATAGGGCCGGATGAGCACTTAAAATGTTATTTGGGGATCTCCAATTTAAAAAGAAAGTGAAACTCATCAATGGAAAACCGACGAATGCCAAAAGGGATGGAATAAGAGGAAAGAAGGAGGAATCCACTCACCTGTTAGACACATAATCTTTCCGTGGTGCTACTGGAGCATGGTTCAATGTTTGAAGAGATAGGGGCATTAAATGTGAGCGAGGAACCAATTTCGATATGACATCTGCAGCAGTTGCGGCAGTTGGAGATAAACCACCTTCAGAACCAGGGTTGCAACCGGTAATATTGAGCGACAGCTTTCCTAGTGCCATGGCATCCACTCGAGCGTGCACCTAAAACGTTGAAAAAAATAAAATAAAATAAAATGTACAGTCAGTTCAGCGGTACGAAGTCTACCACATATAATAATAATTGTGTTGGCACATCGTAACCGTGAATTGAAAGACAAGAGAGGACCCAAGGCTCTGGCACTTCAAACGATGATCAGAGATCGAAACTTACACTCTGAGCTGAACACTAAGGATATGTCCATATCCATGGAAATTTCGTAGACCCTTCTACAGTCTACCATAAATTTCCAAGTCAATAGATGTGCATCATCACCTGAGACAAAAGATGTAATAGCAAGTACTCGGCAGCAAGAGCATCTCCTCCAAGTGAAAAGGTAAGGTAGTCCAGAAGGGATTTCCTGGTCTCCGCGACGTCTGATGGAAGAACCTGACAAATGCAGTCGAGTAACCTCAAAACAAGATCATAGTTGCACAATTGGAAGCATTTCAGGAGTCCTAGTGAATGAACAGCTTATCAGCCCAAACAAAATAACTATTATCAGAGCTCTTAATTTTGAATGTCTACTTTGGATAACCCATTCTTCTCGAATACAAATGACTGACAGGAAAGGTAGCATTGGTTTCACCTCACTAATTGCAGGATGTTGAGCAAAAAAAAAATATGGCTAATCAAATGAAAGAAGTAGATGCTTACTGCAAGAGAAGCTCCATGAGCGTAATCAGATTGACATATCTTTCTCCACGTGATGCACTGGAGTCGTGGAACCTGCAGAAAAACACAATTCCAGAAATAAATTCCTGACATCCTCATCAAATGATAAAGCCAAACCAAGTGCTTTCAAAAGGGAAACGAAATACAAAAAAAAATCAATTTCTAAAAAAACATCTATCTCACTTTACTGGCTGGTAGCCGCATGGAAACATTGTCTTCTAGAAACGCAGATTGGACAACATCCATGTAACTGTCGTCCCCATTATTTTGATGAAAGCTCGCAGCAGATATCTGAGGATCGAAGGTTAGAACCCCAAAAACCTCCACAACATCATTGAGTTTCAGGTCTGCATCTTGACCATCGTACACCTGCCAAAATATATCAATAGAAAACTTCAATGCACGGTTCTACAATCAGTTGTAGATATAAACATTTAGCACAGTGGAGAGTACTGGGCGCAGAACAAAACCAAGCCATGCAAGCAGGTCGCCATCCTACCTTAATTAAGCAGGGCACAAGTTTGTTCCCTTCAGAAGAACCCAGCGGCATATTAAGATCAAGATCTGTCGCTGCTGGAGAACCTTGCGATGTAGATGCTATTTCATCTCCTCTCTGAAACCTCCAGATCACACCATGAATTTTGAGAGAGGCAAATTCCAAGTAAGATAAGTAGCCCACACTATTCGAAGCAAAAAAGCCAATTTGAACGAGTCAGATGAATTCTATTAAATAACAACTACACACACTGCAACACAAAGAACCGACGAACAGGAGGAAGCAACAACTTTTGATCAGAAGAACGAATGAAGGGAGGCTGCTATACCAGTCGCTTTTTGTCGCTGGCATCATTCCCGAGCGGCGCGTCTGCTTCCATCGCCTGCAACAAGACAAAACGATCGCTCGTAATTGACGTAGGGGTAAATAATGGCAACGAACTTTGAAGACATCACAGGCGAATAAAATAACGCAGGCCGTTGATGACGGAAGTATTCAACAGTTATGCTATATCCAAACCTCAAAGGCTTCCTCGTCTGAAGAGCCACGAGGCCGCTTTTCACCCTGTGACACGGTTACTGTACTAAGTGCTGCTGTCCTCTGCGCAGCGCATGACTCCTTCACCCATGAATTCTCCCCAGGAATCTGTCACCAATAGCACAGGTGGTAATAAATAAGTGACATATCTTAATATTCTTGTGAAGAAATATAATCACAATGCTGACGGAGCGGAACACATTGCATCTGAAAGAGAAACTGATAAACTTCTCACAAAAAGACGGACATACCGGCACACAGTAAAGGACACGGCGATCCCACATTTGAGCTTCTGCTTCTGAGCCAGAAGGCACATCCGCCACATCCATATACTTGCTGGTATGCCACACTCCTTGATCCTGTAATAGGCTAATACAATTGAGTCACTTAAAAAATTTGCAAGCCGGCATCCAACACAAAGTTAAGAAAAACCATCTAAAGCTGCATAGCAGAGATAGCCGTAAATAGTACTTGCCTTGTATGCTCCGATGTAATATTCGACATCAAACATATCTTGCACCTGATACAACACATATCAAAAATATTTAATCACAGCACTGATCTAGCGCTGCTACTAGTGAATAATTGAGTATCACAAGAGAGAAAATACACAAAGAGCTTGCAAATGTCGCAGTAAACCAAAACGATAAAGTAAATTCACAAAGACATGACCCAAACCGTTGAATAATTTAACTCCACTGCAAAATGATAAGGAAAGGATACTACCATGCCGCGGAAGCGGACAAGAGAGTTCACAGGTATAGCATCCAGCGGAACAGAGTTAATTTCAGGGACCTGCACAAAATTAATGCGAACAACCCGCTCTTCTTTAAAGTCGAGTGGCTCGTGTCCGTAAATGAAAGAACAGAACTTACAAAAATTAACGAAGAAAAATCCTGGTGGTTAAACAATTCACCGTGGCGCAACAGAGGCCCTCTCTTTCCTCTGTTTAGATTCCAAGAGCGCACCTATACAGAAACCTACACACTACAAGGACAAGTAGAAACTGTCGTCCTATTCATGTACTCTTCTACACTAAAACAAAACACTTACTGATCAAAATAATAGGTCCACGCTGAAAACGAATAGCTACTCAGCTGCGATACTTCGGAGACGTGATCTGCCATAAAAACATTGCAAGAATGGAGCAAGAGGCCAGAAGCCAAGTATATTACCTGAAGATGTCCGCTCTCTGCAAACAACGAGTTCTGAAAAAGCTCTTGAACGCCCCAATCGGAGCGAGTCAATTCTGCAGCAGAGGCGGCATTTCTACACGATCTCTCGAACAGAACCCGTACTGCACCCAGGGGGTTACCATACAAGTCCATCGACGGTCCCCCCATTGCAACCTTCTCTTAGGTCCAGCGATCTCACTCAACCCAGCCCCTTCAAACCACTGTCATAAAACCCACCGAGCGAACCCTCAAACCCAACAAACCCACGTTCAGAAACGCAACAGCAACGACAAACCGCTGATCACGGTTCTCGAGGAACTGCGCGAAAAACTACAAACGAAGGATTAGCGCGGGAAAAATCTCAAAAAAGGGAATCGAGGGATATGAAAACCCTAGAAATGACCAAACATGAACGGGCATGTTCACGAGGAAGCCACGATGATAGGGGCCTCGGCGACTCTGATCCGCGCTTGCAACTATAATTAGGAACAAGACTTGGTTAGCTGGTGAACCCCTAATACTCAACTTCTAAAGGCCACTTCACGCAATGGCCGTTTGGTCACTGCTCATGATGTAAAGGCCATGACCCGCATCATTTGCAAGGACCCAATTCATTTTACAATATTTTGAACTATTTTATTTTTCAAAAAAAATAAAACTGTAGTTTTTTTAAAATGAATTATAAAATATTTAAAATAAAATTAAAAATGTCATGAAGAGATTTAGAAATTTTGGCCTCTTTTATTGGTTTTTTTTTTTTTTTTTTTTTTTTTAATATTTGTTAAAAATTGTTAGATGAATTTTATATAGAATTTAAATATGAATAAAACTTTTTTATGTTTATACATATTTGCATATGTAACATTTTTTATACAAAGACATAAAGATGACTTATTTGTATAGAATATGATTATAAGATATAAAATATAAATACAATAAATATATATATAACATAAATATATAGTGTAAATATAAGAAATAAAATGTATGTATAAATTAATAATTACATATCAATTCTAGATATTTAAATCTATTGTTTGTGGAATGGATTGTAGATGTTAGTACTACTTGGCTATAAATAGTCCAATAAATTAACAAGTTGCATCAACATAGTCATTACAAACATCAACATAGTCATTATAAACATCAATACAATCATTATAAACATCATATTTTTTTTAATGTTTACAACAATTTGTCTTCTTTAGCATCAAGCCTTCAATACTTTAGTCCATTGCAATATTATAAAAAAACTTATATATAAAAAATTTAATATTGAAAAAATCAACAATCAACCTATAATATTTTATTATTAGCCATTATATGAAAGTTATTCATTGTCTATCAAAATATGCTAATATACTTTTATACTTCTTTAATATCTTCTTTATTGAAATTAAAGCTATTATATTGTATAAAATTCAATTTGACAATCTGTTAGGCATATAATTGTACAAAGGTTTGAACTTACTTTGAAGTTAGATTTATAATCCAAAAATAATATACAAGGAATTTAGAAACACTTAATTTAGTAATTTTAAATAATTTAAACATGGCTCTAAGGAAGTTCTAAAATCTCATAAGTAGATTCTACTAATCACAAATATCACAAACATATGTATTTATTTCAATAATTATCTATATGATTAAATAGAAATAAATAAAAATAGATTAGTTTCATAATATCTTTTAGAAAAGCTTTCTAGAAGCTTTATAAACAGGTTTTTGATTTTACACATTCTTGTAGTTGATTTATAGGTTGGAAACTTGATCAATAAGTTAATCACATATCACACATGTTGGTAGCTTAGAGAACAAGCTAACTATATGGCGCACATATAGAAAATTTGCCTTACAAGTTAAGATATGTGTCTTACAAAGTCAACACATATTAAAGGTCGTATAAAACATCACCACATAGCTCCTAATTAGATAATATCTATAGAAGCAAGAGTGAAGCCTTTTTTACTCTTATCAATGCCTTTCTAGTCCTTAGTCTTATTCTAAGACTTTTTAGTTTTTTTATCTTTAGTAATAGTCATTCTAGTTAAATATTATATCATCTTTCAATGATTATGTAGTCTTTTGGAATAATACAAGAATATCTTGATCTTTTAAGTTTTTTAAGATTCATAATAATCTAAAATAAATCTTAATCAAAACTTAAATTGATTATATATTAAATTAAAATCTTTATATTTTTTTAATTAATTATTAATTTTTTTAAAAATTTAATATACTTATAATTTTTAAAATTTATACTAAGATATAAAAATTAAACAAAGTTATATTTATAAATTAAAATAAAAAATATATAATTTCTTTGAGTATTAAATGTCATTTTTTATTTTATTTTTTAAAATTTTTTTCAAATCTTAATATTGAGCTTTCAATGCTAAGATTTTTTGCTTGAAACATTAATTTGCTTTAAAAATTTATGGATTTTTTTTCACTTATATTAATATTAAAGACATACATATTTACTTTAATAATTACTTAAATATCATGAATAAATAAAAGTAGGTTAATTCAATAATATCTTCTAAAAAAACTTTATAAAAGTAGTTTCATCTTTATTTGTGTCTATATGTAATTAGTAGATTAAAAACTTGGCCAATAAATTAGCTATATATTATACATGTTGATAGCTTGTGGTACAAGCTAATGATATGGCACACATATAAGAAACTTATATTACAAGTTAAGACACGTGTCGAAGGTCCTATAGAATGTCACCACATAGCTTCTAGTTAGATAGTATATTTGGAGGTAAGATTAAAGTCTTTTTCATTCTTGTCAATGCCTCTCTAATCCAAAATCTTGTTCTAAGGTTTTCTAATCTTTTTGTCTTTGGCAATAGCCATTCTAGTTCAATATCATACCATCTTTGAGTGATTTTTTAGCCTTTTCAAATGATATATGAATGCATTGATTTTTTAGTTCTTTGAGATTCTGTCAAGGACAAGAACTCGATGAAAGCTAAAGAGTAAGTGAGACTTTTCTCAAAAAAGAAATAGGACAAAATAGAAATATGTATATTAAGAAAGAAACTGGAATGGCTATTGCCAAAATACAAGAAAACTAGAGACCTTTGAAACTAGACTAGAAGCAAGAAAGGAGTTGACAAGAGTGAAGAGGGCTTCACTCTTGCCTCTATATATACTATCTAACTAGAAGCCACGTGGCGATGTTCTATAAGACCTCCAATATATGTTGACTTTCTAGGCCACATGCCTTTGCTTGCAAGGCAAGTTTTCTATGGATGGACCACGTAGTTAGCTTGTTCTTTAAGCTTCCAACATGTGTGGCACATGGCTAACTTGTTGACCAAGTTTCTAACCTAAAAGTCAACTATAGACTCCTATAAAGTCAAAGCAGCGTCTATGAAGCTTCTAAGAAGCTTCTCTAGAAGATATTACACAATTAACCTACTTTTACATACTTTTATTTATTCATATAGGTAATTATATGTATGTCCGTGACATTACCCCCCCTTCTAGGGACGAGTTCCACGAGGAGCGGTGATTATATATTGAGAAAATCTAATATGCGGCGAATTATATTTGCTACATACTCTGATCTTTGTTCTCTTCGAAGATAGTTGATGGGTCCTCTTAGCCATCGATAGTGTCCCATTCCAGGGCGAGAAGACCACCCTGTTATTTGATCACTGTTGAGGCCTTCATAACTTCCTTCAAATAATACATTTGAAACACCATCAGGAGTCGTTCCTATCTCCAATAATATCACCAAACATCGAGAATCTCTTCCAAGGTCGTGATACCAAACGCGTTGTATCTCACCATCTATTCGAGGAAGAACATGTCGTTCTTGAGGGTCTTCATTTTGGTTGCGTCGTCTTGAAGGTTGTGACAATCGCAATGTCTCATCCGGTAAGTCAGCAAACGAAGGTTCTTGAGTTGAATCCGCTGGTTGTTGGCTCTCCATCTAATTAGCATCACAAAATGCAAAGAAGTTGCAAACAAGGATAGGAAATTGAATGTTATCTTGCCTCAATCTTGTCTCTTTTATAAGAGAGGTTTTCATCTTGGTTTTGATGGATGTCGTTGATGAAAAACTTTGACTTTAGCTGATGCATTTGCTAGATTCCTGGATGGCTCCCATGTGCGCTCACTAATATCATATCCGCACCAATGAACAAGATATTCCAGCTTATTTTGGCGCCGCCTTGAGTCTAATATCTCTTCCACCTCAAATTCTTCATTATTATCTACTTCTATAGGAGGCGGTGGCATTTGTCTTCTTCCTTGTATATCCACTGTCTTATATGGTTCAAGAAGAGACACGTGGAATACAGGATGGATCTTCATTGACTCCGGTAGATGTAACCGATATGCAACTGGGTTGATCTGTTCAGAAACAGAAAAGGGGCCAAGCCTACGATAGTCCAATTTGTCACAAGGTCGAGTGGTCTTGATATTGCGACGAAGTAGCCATACCTTATCACCCACGTTGAGTTGTGGTTGCTCTTTACGATATACATCTGCATTTATCTTTTGTCGTTCTTGAGCTTTCTTCAACTGCGCCTTCATTATTGCATGTAACTCTGACAACCGATTTGCCATATCTTCTGCTGCAGGATTATCAACTTTTGAAAAATCAAAAGTATCAAGTCGTGGATGATAGCCATAATTGGCAAAGAAAGGTGTTTGTTGCATGGAGGAATGTACCGTATTATTATAAGCAAACTCTGCCAATGGCAGAAGGTTTGTCCAATCATCTTGTTGGTAGTTGATGGTACACCTTAAATACTGTTCGAAGACTTGGTTTACGCGCTCTGTTTGTCCATCAGTTTGAGGATGGAAAGCTGAAGATAGCTTTATGTCCACTTTTAAAATCTTGAAAAGAGTCCTCCAGAATCTCGACACAAATTGAGTTCCCCTATCCGATATGATATCTTTAGGTAATCCATGATAGCGATAGATATTATCAATGAAAAGCTTAGCTGTTTCTTCACCTGTGATAGATTTTGTACATGGCATAAAATGTGCCATCTTGGTGAAACGATCTACTATCACAAATATAGAATCATAAGATCTTGAGTTTGGAAGATCTGTGATGAAATCCATAGAAACAGAAGACCATGGTTGTTCTGGTATAGGTAATGGCTGAAGAAGTCCGTAAGGTCGATGTCGAGGAATTTTTGATCTTGAACAAATATCACATGATTGTACAAAGTCTTTGACTGACTTCCACATTTGTGGCCACCAAAAGTCTCTTGATATGAGTTCCAGAGTCCTATTATATCCAAAGTGCCCTGCTGCTGGAAAGTCATGACGTGCTTGAAGAACACGCAAACGTGCTTTTCCTTCTGGAACATATAGGCGTCCTTCAAAATATAATAGATTATTCTTGAACTCGAACTTAGAAGAATCATGAGACTTGGAAGAATTATTC